ATAGAGTTAGTCCAAGTCTCTCAACTTAACTCTTCTACTCTTCAGCAAATTCACAGAACTGTTCTATTTCAAGAGTTAGCTGACGTAGATTTTCATCATCTAAAAAGTCGTGTTACGACCATCGGCATTGTGTTTGGCGTTTCGGATTTCCGCGATTTTATTGAGGGTAAGGGGGAGAAAGGCGAAATTTTCACGGACTCTGCTTACAATGTTTTAAGCTTTTGTTTAGTGGTCACGATTTTATATCATTTTCAGGGTCCCTTACCGAATACCAACTACAGTAACATATAGAACATTACCACCTATCAACTGCTCAGTCATTGTCGGCAATCGTTCTTTTATTCTTAGGAAAACGGTAGGAAATTCTAACTTTTTCAAAATTCTTATTTAGTTAAAAAAAATGCTGAACTTCTAAGGACGGCAGACGTCCTCTAGGAAGACTTTTTTTTTCTTATTTTTTGTTTTATTTTTGTTTTTTGCCTCCCACACTGAACAGAACACTTTCCTCGCTTAGGAAATCTGTCAGGTAGATCAAAAGTCAGGTAATGTTGTTGAGAAAAACATCTTTTTTTTAATCGTGTAAATATTGAACTGCATTTAAACCACTAGAGAAAATGATAATTATGAATTGATAGCGGGAAAAATTGACTTTACTTTCCTCACACTTCAGGCATTCTTGTCTATGACTGGATGTTCATAACAGGTAAAATAACTTGTGCCTCGGTGACGGCGCTAACCATCTTATCAATATTATATAATGCTTTGACGACTGTTTCCATACACCTTTTTATTACATAAACCCGGTACTTCGGTTTTTTTTCTCTTTTCTGTCGATAAACCCCACCAATAGGCTGTCCTTGATCATGCTGTTTAAATAACTGCCCACCAATAGGCTGTCCTTGATCATGCTGTTTAAGTACCTGCCCAACCGGATCTATCAATATGCAACGGAAACCAAAATTGATCGGAATCACGATCACATCGACGCTTTATCACTGACAAATGTCACTGTCATGTAAGGCTCTTGTAACTGTTTGGGAAAGTGATACAACTCAATACATATCGTTCAGTTTGTATACAGAGGTTTAAATTTAAACATGAATATCTTCCTGACTTGGTACCTCTCACAATACACAAAAATCACCAGAACTTTACGATACAATATCTTATTTCATGCTATCTATTGTGTCGGGCACTTATTGTAAATTCTCGTGACTTTTTTCACTTCGATTATATGTATTCAAATATAAAAGTTGAATTCTCAGTTTCACATAATCACTCTTGTTATTACGTCACAGACATTGTATCTAGGCAATTTATTAAGCATCATGAAGATTCAGGAATGAAAGTGCTAATGCTTAATTCGACGTGCTGTTTTAACACTGATGTCGGTCTAAACACACTAGTCGGCTAGCTGATCCCAATACGTCTTCATTACTGATAAGCTAATCGAACCCCGGACCACTAACCTACTATCCACTATACCTCTTGTGCCTCTCGTTATAATCTGAATCAACATTTAAGTCAACTTAAACGTTAAAGACGAGGACAAGATTCGTATCACAAATGCTCCAATTCTTCAATTGGCTATGTTCTTTATTCCGTGCGGTTTTCAGATAAATGAATACGAACCCACGAACCTTGAAATTATTATATCCCTTTTGAGCGTCGCTTGACACAAATTGATACAAATAATGACTTGCAACGTTGATGCTTATTTTTGACTACTTATGACATCATTATTGTTAAGTAATTTATAGATATCAAGGAATTCCTGAATATAGATCTAGGCTCTATCCATACACAGGCAAGGGAGATAATCGGACTCTCATAAAAAGGAGAATATCTCCCCGTTTAAAAATGTGGTCTATATGGGAAAAGGGACAAAACATTTATAAAAGTGGTCTTAATCCCGAAAAGGGAGATCATCATAATTCTAAGACAATTGTCTTTAACGGGAAAGGGAAAGCTCTTCAGGGGCGATAACTCTACTGTTTTGATATTGGGTACGTTTTGTATTTGGAAACAAGGCCCGCGCATGTGGCGAGGTCAATTACTGAGATGATGAGGACGTGGAGATTATTTGCACTACATCTGTCCAGTGAACAATTGGTACACCCTATTAACATTAAGCACATGCAAAAATCATATCGATTTTCTCTTATAATGAAAATATCTATGATAAAAAACCAGAATAGCGTCAAGTTTCCTCCATTAATACAGTACATCAGCTAACCCTTCACTGACTGTAGATTCCAATCTGGAATAAATCTACATATCAACTACAAAGTGGGGACGCCGTAAACCAAACCATCATCTGTGTTTAGGTACAATTATCTGTAATTAGCATGAGTAGGCGGTTGTCCTGTTACGGTCACTGTGAACTTAAAATGTCATTTCTAGCAACCTCATAGAAACAAATCATATTGATTTCTTGGGTAATTTTACCGACCGATTGACCTATTCCGTCATTTATCACCAAGAAATGGTTTTAAGTGGAAAATTGTGTTGACTGGCTTAAACATACATATAATTCTTATCGTATTTATGTATAACAGAATAAAGCCCCTCTAACCCCCTCACCTCCCATCCCCCCCCCCCCCAAAAAAAAAAAAAAAAAACCCACGCACAAATCATAACAAACTCAAAATCAATAATCAAAATATATATTAAAATTGTAAAAGTATGAGATAATATCACTGTTCAATGTTAACTGCTTTGATTCGATTTAGTGACAAATTGCGTTCGATCTCTAACACCTCTATACACTGTAAGTATCTGTCTTTGAAGTCTTATTTGGTCAACACCATGCACGTGTGGCTCAAATGAAAATCCTAGCCTATCAATCAGGATTTTGTGAGATAGGCCGATTGCTATATCCGGATCCAAGCTTGACCTCAATCTTAAAATTCACGGAAGAAAATGTAGGTTAAATAGAGTTAATTTCCTGTCTGTTGGTGAACAAGTGCATGACTTGTACGCATATCTCTGTTTACGATTTTACTGGTACAGAGAGAGAGAGTAAGGAAGTCGATAAACACAACCACACCAGGTATATCTATTTAGACAGAATAAATTATCAATCATTTATATCTACTGGGTACGACATAAAATTCCAAATTACAAAGATATCGAGAAAGTCAGAAGCTCTTAATCAGAAGGGGATGAAAGCTAATTTTTTTTCTGATGCGAAGAGGGGTCAAGTCACGTGATACTCTCTCAGCCGAAATGATTCTAGTATAGGGAAAATGTTTAGAACTTTCAACAAACAATAAACCTTTGAATTCTTGCGAACTCACATTCATCATTGGATCTCGAACCACTTGAGAATGACTGTCTATTGAGCTCGGGATGAACACTGCGACTTACGTCCAAGCTTTATGCCACGCGTGAGGTCGATAACATCATAAGAGATCGATGACTACCCTGTCACGTAGTTACGTTCCCAAAACGAACAAAGAGTTGTATTCTTGATTCTGATGATCTGTTGATTGAAGCTGGTCTTAAACATTCGATCGGGTGAAGCGAATAAAGGTGTATCCAGTTATACCCGTGTGTTTATAGAATTACTTGCGTCTATTTTCCTTCAGAGCAATAATGTTTCAGTGGCTGAGTTTTGTATAATAGGACGACCGCCCGCTGTGTATGTCGTATCGTCCCTAATACAAACAAAGAATAATGGAACTATTACAAACCACTTAACAATGAGTTATCCAAACATAGAACTCCATGTAGTGTGGATTCTCGAGAATATCTCATTCACTTTAACCGACTTTATGTCGTTTCCAAGATAGTTATTGAGTTGTTATAAAGCTGTTATTCAACATGGTTTAATTTCCAAGCACTACTTACGCTGAATTCTACATTACGCATACTCGCCTTACTGAAATATAATATGTTTATTTAATGCAAATCTTTAAAAATGCGAATTTTAAAAAATCAAAACCTGCTAACGAATCGTATAAGTAGATAATTGCTCGGAAGAACAAACATCATTTTCCCACAATTTACTGAAAGGATGGCTTTTGTGGTTGTATTGATGATATAAACCTCAGCCTTGTTCTACAAAGACAGAAAAAGTCAGGCACTTCGGAGCATAGAGACAATGTCATAATATTTATTCAAATGGCCGATATAACATATTCTAATCCGAGATATCACTCATCAAAAAAGATAATCAATTGTACATAATATAAATTACTATAACATGCGGATCTGATTTCTTTTAATTTTATTTTTATTTCTATTGATGTAAAGCAACAAATACGTTTATGCCGTGTTTTTACAAATATTACCAGAGTGTAGTGTCTGATTTGTATAAGAGTTGATGAAAATGAATTTTGAATCAGTGATATCATTTTGAATGTATGGAATGCTTTAAAAGTTTTATATGAGTTGTGAGAGTTTATGAGCTTGTTTATACTGAAACGAAACGATACCTAACTTATGTTTTAATGGTTATTTTTAATGTATGACATGCTTTACCAACTGGTGTTTTACTTCATACTTTTTACGTGAAATGAGAGCAAGAAATGTTCTTTTCATGTTGCAATCGGAATTTCGTTGGCCCGGAAGTCTATGAATGGTTTCTGATAGTTAAATTTCCCTTACTAAATTGGAATGTATGATACAGAATCTCTCTGTCAATATGAAAAGACCTCCCCAGTTGTACACCGGATATAGCTACCATGCCGAACAAACCAATTAAGATATGAATATAAAAATGAGAAAATTACGGAAAGAAACGGCACTGAAACGCTTGAAACAATCTAACGAAAAATCTCAGAAGAGAATTGGTGTTTGAATATTTATATCAGTCCTGCGTGGCCCGATCGAATGGATGGAAGCTATACTTAAATATTCAAAACAATCTTTGAGTTTCATAAGAACTGATTCGTCCATCCAGCGGAACCGGGATGATTTGACATCAAAATTCTTAACGTGTTTTCATACGTGTTTGTTTACTCAACAAATTAACAAAACATTACTTTATTTTGCAGGTTGTCAATAAAATGATGTATACCGGAAGTTCAGACCATACCGGAAGAGCCTGGGTGACCGAGTTTGGCGACTGCACTCGAGTATATAAAGGTCACAAACACACAGTCAGCGTCGTTAAGGTCAGGGATGGGTTAGGTCAGTATCATTTTTTTTCTTTGCTTAATTTTGTACGAATAAAGATAAACATATTAAGTCACGATATTGTTGTATCGATTGGTGAAAAATGTCATTTCTGCAAATTCAACATGTAACAAGAGTTTCGTCCCTTATAATCAGTTCGGGGACAAATGGTGACGTATCAGATTATTGTCATGTAGTCAGCGAAAGCCCTCGCTTGTCAAAGTATCTCATTAAACTTGAAATTATGACATATGAAGATAACGATTTCTCAGAGCAAAGATAAATAGACGGTTCGTCTTCAGAACTAAGCTGTTTTTGTGTGCAATGTTACTTTATCGAATGACGACACTGGGTCTCTTCCAACACGAAAACCCAGACGTAAGTACAATATATTGAGAATTTAAAAACCTTGAGTTGTTTAGCAGTTCAATTATAGTTGGTAATATCGTGACTGCCTAATTTCTCTCATTGTATGATAAAAGGACAGTATTATGTTTTGGCATGCATCATATAAGAAGGAATTTCCTTTGGAGACACACAATCATGAAACCGTGCCGTTTGATCCAGGTGTGCAGGAAACACCTGCACAGTGGCTTGGATACAATTTGGAGCTAGGAAGCTTTATCTTACATTATCTTAAAAATAACTGTTGATTTGGTTTTCTTCCTTTGAAACATGTATATTACGGAACGATGAAACGCGATTGTATGGCTTTCACAATTCAAGTGAAATGAAACTTAAAGTCGAATTAGGTAGAATTATTTATACAAGTTTAGAACAATTTTCATCGATTTTTATACCTGCTGCTACCTGCAGACACAGGTGAGATTCGATCCATGTCGGTAGCACGTGAAATTAAACAACTAGCATTGTCGGACCGTGTTTGATGCCATAGATACATAACCACTGTATACAGTGTGGGGGTCCCACGTGACGTTTTATATTTGCACTGTTTTAGAAACGCATTTAAACATGGAGTCAAAATTCGCATGGAGAGCAATTTAGATACACAAAAGTGGCATACCAATGTCCTAAGTAACACGCGAACACCGAGGTGTGCAAATGAAAATAAAAAAAGGATCTCACATGGAGTGAAATGGATTACATTTTTGAACATGTTTGTACACACTGATCAGAGCTACGTTATTTGGATAAAATGAAAAATAATATCGGTGTGTAACGCCTGTTAACAATACAATTCATACTTGAAAATATGTTTATTTTTCAAAATTAATTGCAAACAATAATCCCAGAATGCACCGCGTTCACAAAGGAACTTTTGATTCGTTCCTGTATACATGTACAAATGTATACTACCCACAATGCACTCTGTTAGAGATTGACACGACATGTCTGACTTACAACACAATTCTCGTGGCGTAAGATATACTACAACAAATTGTAAATCGGTAACTGATCTCAATCATATTGGTAAGTTTATATCTATACACCAAACATCCGTTTCCATATATTTAAACACTAAGGCTAGTCATAGCTTCTAAATCGTCAATGTCCAATAGGCTACTTTTTTTCTCTAATCTAAAACTTTAAAAAATGAATTTCTTTATTTGAATACTAGCATGCCCAAAATAAACCTGATGAAACCCAGTCCAATTCAGTTGGAATTTAGGTACCCTTTTACACACCGTGAGTTGGGTTAGGGTTAGGGTTACACACCGTGAGTTGGGTTAGGGTTAGGGTTGCACACCGTGAGTTGGGTTAGGGTTAGGGTTACACACCGTGAGTTGGGTTAGGGTTAGGGTTACACACCGTGAGTTGGGTTAGGGTTAGGGTTACACACCGTGAGTTGGGTTAGGATTAGGGTTGCACACCGTGAGTTGGGTTAGGGTTAGGGTGACACACCGTGAGTTGGGTTAGGGTTAGGGTGACACACCGTGAGTTGGGTTAGGGTTAGGGTTACACATCGTGAGTTGGGTTAGGGTTAGGGTTACACACCGTGGGTTGGGTTAGGGTTAGGTTACACATCGTGAGTTGTCTTGTTTTAAAACCTTATTTGACATTGACATTGTTTGTAAGCAATAACCATTTTCAGTCTTATTTTTTTTTATCAATCTATTTATCATATATCTATCAATAAAAAAGCTGGTTGTAAATACGAGTGTAAAATCCACTATAGATATAAAACCTTGTTTAATATCTATTCGTTTACTTATAACCATTTGTGCAAATTCCAGTGTATACTGCTTGTGGTGACGGTGTTGCCCGTTGCTATGACGCCAAATCAGGATCGCAGAAACGGGAGTTCAATGGCAGCACGTCATCAGTCAGCGCCCTTCAGGTGATCCGAATGTGCAGTCTTATCGTCTGTCTTTCTTCATTCTTTCAGCCTGTGATCCCTTTGTGACCTTCTGACCTTTACCTGTGCCTAGCTGTGTTTTTCATGTGCATGTTTTATTTCTCTTTCTAGCATGGATTTCCTATTGGACAAATTTTGTTATCTAGGGTACGGTTGTTATAACATAATGCTTTCGTCCGTACGTACGTCCGTCCATCCGTACGCCCAAGGTTTGCGTTGGTTTCAAGTTAACTTTTACTTTTTATAAGAATCGAAGAGCACACACGCTTAATTGACGTAAGTTCACCGAGAAGATCACTACGAAAATGAACAGATGTGATAAGGACACCAAAAATATTTGATTTCAGAAACGTATAGTGCTATTATTTAAACCAACAAGGCTTGAACAAATCATTGGCTGTTCATTGAAACTCATGAAAGTTATCGTCGTGTTCACGTTATACGAGACATCACTTCATCGTGTATAACTGGTGGTCGGTAAAAATCATCAGAAAATCTTACATTTGTACTGAAAGAGACAATATAACACGAGTTCTGATTAGATACAGTTTTAAATACCGCTTCTCCGCCACCATAGAATATAAATTCTAATACATAATACATCCTGCCAATCTCTGTACGGCCGGAATCGTGAGAAACAAAGGATATAGATTAGAATATGTAAATTGTTTAAAAGGCAACTAGAATATGTGTACATGATTCACGCTGCACCTAATTCTTCTTCTTTTGGAATATAACAACGATTTTATCGACGTCATAAAATTAAGTGGTGACGTCACCTTGTGTGAATGACCATCCTGTGTGACCCGTATTGATCACAGAAAAGAATGTCTTTACAATACCATCTTCTATTGAATATTGATTAGTCGCTAGGCTATATAAAGTATATTCATAATATTAATTAGCCGAGAGGGTTTCAAAGTAAATGAATATTCATTAGCCGATAGATTAAGGTGTGTTCATTGCCAACGTCGCAACATTAATATAACATGACAACAGGCTCCAAGGATAGGAAACATATCAGTCAGTGATCAGTAAACACGCACAGAGCTTGTCCATGTGTTCTAGTACTGGGATTGTCCATGTGTTCTAGTACTGGGATTGTCCCTTGTGTTATAGTACTGGGATTGTCCATGTGTTACAGTACTGGGATTGTCCATGTGTTATAGTACTGGGATTGTCCATGTGTTATAGTACTGGGATTGTCCCGTGTGTTATAGTACTGGGATTGTCCCGTATTTTATAGTACTGGGATTGTCCGTGTGTTATAGTACTGGGATTGTCCGTGTGTTACAGTACTGGGATTGTCCCGTGTGTTGTAGTACTGGGATTGTCCATGTGTTACAGTACTGGGATTGTCCATGTGTTATAGTACTGGGATTGTCCATGTGTTATAGTACTGGGATTGTCCCGTGTGTTATAATACTGGGATTGTCCCGTATTTTATAGTACTGGGATTGTCCATGTGTTACAGTACTGGGATTGTCCATGTGTTATAGTACTGGGATTGTCCATGTGTTATAGTACTGGGATTGTCCGTGTGTTATAGTACTGGGATTGTCCGTGTGTTACAGTACTGGGATTGTCCATGTGTTATAGTACTGGGATTGTCCCGTATTTTATAGTACTGGGATTGTCCGTGTGTTATAGTACTGGGATTGTCCGTGTGTTACAGTACTGGGATTGTCCCGTGTGTTGTAGTACTGGGATTGTCCATGTGTTATAGTACTGGGATTGTCCCGTGTGTTATAGTACTGGGATTGTCCGTGTGTTATAGTACTGGGATTGTCCGTGTGTTATAGTACTGGGATTGTCCGTGTGTTATGTACTGGGATTGTGTGTGTTATAGTACTGGGATTGTCCCTGTGTGTTATAGTACTGGGATTGTCCGTGTGTTATAGTACTGGGATTGTCCTGTGTGTTATAGTACTGGGATTGTCCCGTGTACTATAGTACTGGGTGTTAGTTCATTGTGTTATAGTACTGGGATTGTCCCATGTGTTATAGTACTGGGATTGTCCCGTGTGTTATAGTACTGGGATTGTCCCATGTGTTATAGTATTGTCCCGTGTGTTATAGTACTGTGACTGTCCCGTGTGTTATAGTACTGGGATTGTCCCGTGTGTTATAGTACTGGGATTGTCCATGTGTTATAGTACTGGGATTGTCCATGTGTTATAGTACTGTGACTGTCCCGTGTGTTATAGTACTGGAATTGTCCATGTGTTACAGTACTGGGATTGTCCGTGTGTTATAGTACTGGGATTGTCCATGTGTTATAGTACTGGGATTGTCCGTGTGTTATAGTACTGGGATTGTCCCGTGTGTTATAGTACTGGGATTGTCCCGTGTGTTATAGTACTGGGATTGTCCCGTGTGTTATAGTACTGGGATTGTCCTGTGTGTTATAGTACTGGGATTGTCCCGTGTACTATAGTACTGGGTTTGTTCATGTGTTATAGTACTGGGATTGTCCCGTGTGCTATAGTACTGGGATTGTCCATGTGTTATAGTACTGGGATTGTCCATGTGTTATAGTACTGTGACTGTCCCGTGTGTTATAGTACTGGAATTGTCCATGTGTTACAGTACTGGGATTGTCCGTGTGTTATAGTACTGGGATTGTCCATGTGTTATAGTACTGGGATTGTCCGTGTGTTATAGTACTGGGATTGTCCATGTGTTATAGTACTGGGATTGTCCATGTGTTATAGTACTGTGACTGTCCCGTGTGTTATAGTACTGGGATTGTCCCGTGTGTTATAGTACTGGGATTGTCCGTGTGTTATAGTACTGTGACTGTCCCGTGTGTTATAGTACTGGGATTGTCCCGTGTGTTATAGTACTGGGATTGTCCATGTGTTCTAGTACTGGGATTGTCCCGTGTGTTGTAGTACTGGGATTGTCCATGTGTTATAGTACTGGGATTGTCCCGTGTGTTATATAGTACTGGGATTGTCCCGTGTGTTATAGTACTGGGATTGTCCATGTGTTATAGTACTGGGATTGTCCATGTGTTATAGTACTGGGATTGTCCGTGTGTTATAGTACTGGGATTGTCCGTGTGTTACAGTACTGGGATTGTCCCGTGTGTTGTAGTACTGGGATTGTCCATGTGTTACAGTACTGGGATTGTCCATGTGTTATAGTACTGGGATTGTCCATGTGTTATAGTACTGGGATTGTCCTGTGTGTTATAGTACTGGGATTGTCCGTATGTGTTATAGTACTGGGATTGTCCGTGTGTTATAGTACTGGGATTGTCCGTGTGTTACAGTACTGGGATTGTCCCGTGTGTTTTAGTACTGGGATTGTCCATGTGTTATAGTACTGGGATTGTCCGTGTGTTATAGTACTGGGATTGTCCCGTGTGTTATAGTACTGGGATTGTCACGTGTGTTATAGTACTGGGATTGTCCGTGTGTTATAGTACTGGGATTGTCCGTGTGTTACAGTACTGGGATTGTCCCGTGTGTTATAGTACTGGGATTGTCCGTGTGTTATAGTACTGGGATTGTCCCGTGTGTTATATAGTACTGGGATTGTCCCATGTGTTATAGTACTGGGATTGTCCCGTGTGTTATAGTACTGGGATTGTCCCATGTGTTATAGTACTGGGATTGTCCCGTGTGTTATAGTACTGGGATTGTCCGTGTGTTATAGTACTGGGATTGTCCCGTGTGTTATATAGTACTGGGATTGTCCCATGTGTTATAGTACTGGGATTGTCCCGTGTGCTATAGTACTGGGATTGTCATGTGTTATAGTACTGGGATTGTCCGTGTGTTATAGTACTGGGATTGTCCATGTGTTATAGTACTGGGATTGTCCGTGTGTTATAGTACTGGGATTGTCCATGTGTTATAGTACTGGGATTGTCCCGTGTGTTATATAGTACTGGGATTGTCCCGTGTGTTATAGTACTGGGATTGTCCATGTGTTATAGTACTGGGATTGTCCGTGTGTTATAGTACTGGGATTGTCCCGTGTGTTATAGTACTGGGATTGTCCATGTGTTATAGTACTGGGATTGTCCGTGTGTTATAGTACTGGGATTGTCCCGTGTGTTATAGTACTGGGATTGTCCCGTGTGTTATAGTACTGGGATTGTCCGTGTGTTATAGTACTGGGATTGTCCCGTGTGTTATAGTACTGGGATTGTCCCGTGTGTTATAGTACTGTGACTGTCCCGTGTGTTATAGTACTGGGATTGTCCATGTGTTATAGTACTGGGATTGTCCGTGTGTTATAGTATTGTGACTGTCCCGTGTGTTATAGTACTGGGATTGTCCCGTGTGTTATAGTACTGTGACTGTCCCGTGTGTGTGTTATAGTACTGGGATTGTCCGTGTGTTATAGTACTGGGATTGTGTGTTATAGTACTGGGATTGTCCGTGTGTTTTATTACTTGGTATGTCCCTTGTGTTATAGTACTGGGTTTGTCCCGTGTGTTATAGTACTGGGATTGTCCGTGTGTTATAGTACTGGGATTGTCCGTGTGTTATAGTACTGGGATTGTCCGTGTGTTATAGTCCCTGTGGTGTGTCCTGTGTGTTATAGTACTGGGATTGTGTGTTATAGTACTGGGATTGTCCGTGTGTTATAGTACTGGGATTGTCCCGTGTGTTATAGTACTGGGATTGTCCGTGTGTTATATTGTACTGTTATAGTACTGGGATTGTCCGTGTGTTATAGTACTGGGATTGTCCATGTGTGTTATAGTACTGGGATTGTCCGTGTGTTATAGTACTGGGATTGTCCTGTGTGTTGTACTGGGATTGTCCGTGTGTTGTGTGTTATAGTACTGGGATTGTCCGTGTGTTATAGTACTGGGATTGTCCTGTGTGTTATAGTACTGTGTCCCGTGTGTTATAGTACTGGGATTGTCCGTGTGTTATAGTACTGGGACTGTCCCGTGTGTTATGTCCCGTGTGTTATAGTACTGGGATTGTCCATGTGTTATAGTACTGTGACTGTCCCGTGTGTTATAGTACTGGGATTGTCCATGTGTTATAGTACTGGGATTGTCCGTGTGTTATAGTACTGGGATTGTCCATGTGTTATAGTACTGGGATTGTCCGTGTGTTATAGTACTGGAATTGTCCATGTGTTATAGTACTGGGATTGTCCATGTGTTATAGTACCGTGACTGTCCCGTGTGTTATAGTACTGGGATTGTCCGTGTGTTATAGTACTGGGTGTGTGTGTTATAGTACTGGGATTGTCCATGTGTTATAGTACTGTGACTAGTACTGGGATTGTCCGTGTGTTATAGTACTGGGATTGTCCGTGTGTTATAGTACTGGGATTGTCCGTGTGTTATAGTACTGGGATTGTCCATGTGTTATAGTACGTGTGTTATAGTACTGGATTGTCCCTGGGATTGTGTGTTATAGTACTGGGATTGTCCGTGTGTTATAGTACTGTGTCTGTCCCGTGTGTTATAGTACTGGGATTGTCCCGTGTGTTATAGTACTGGGATTGTCCCGTGTGTTATAGTACTGGGATTGTCCGTGTGTTATAGTACTGTCCATGTGAGTACTGGGATTGTCCCTGTGTGTTATAGTACTGGGATTGTACTGGGATTGTCCATGTGTTATAGTACTGGGATTGTCCGTGTGTTATAGTATTGTGACTGTCCCGTGTGTTATAGTACTGGGATTGTCCCGTGTGTTATAGTACTGTGACTGTCCCGTGTGTTATAGTACTGTGACTGTCCCGTGTGTTATAGTACTGGGATTGTCCCGTGTGTTATAGTACTGGGATTGTCCATGTGTTATAGTACTGTGACTGTCCATATGTTATAGTACTGTGACTGTCCCGTGTGTTATAGTACTGGGATTGTCCATGTGTTATAGTACTGGGATTGTCCATGTGTTATAGTACTGTGACTGTCCATGTGTTATAGTACTGTGACTGTCCATGTGTTATAGTACTGTGACTGTCCCGTGTGTTATAGTACTGGGATTGTCCGTGTGTTATAGTACTGTGACTGTCCATGTGTTATAGTACTGTGACTGTCCATGTGTTATAGTACTGTGACTGTCCATGTGTTATAGTACTGTGATTGTCCCATGTTCTTTATCTTTCCTGATTTCGTAAACTCGGGGAAATTTTAAGAATCCGTTTTTTCAATGTTTGCTTTAGCTGGCATGTAGGCTATGTATGTATGTATCTACCTTTAACTTTCAGGCCCCAGTTATTTAAAGGTTAGTTAGATTTTAATAGTGGTAAGTGAAAAAAATCACAGTCTTTCCAAGTAATACTCAAAAAATGTCACTTATCTGAACAGCTGTGTAATTATAAAAAAAAATGTTCCTAATTTTAATTTATTCATATTTTAGAAGTTTCCCTAACCACTAATGAACACTAAGCTTTGAACAACTGGGGCCAAATCTCCTTGTTGCATGTATTTATTTCAGGTCGGTGTCATGTCTTATTGGACTACAATTGTAGTATCTAAATGTATACTCATGTGTTCAAAGCAAGAATGATCATCGTTTTAAAGTTCTGAGGTTAACGGCAACAAAACTGAAACATACACTAGGTGTACATGTACATATAGCGCTTAGTACCGTGTTTGATTCTCTAATTCAGTGTAAAATTTTCAATCCGACTCTTCACAACATTGATAGAAATAAGATCAGCGATAAATGTTTGTATTACTGGTAATAAAAGCTTACATCTACATAGTACATCAACATTTCTACCTGTATGGTACAAAACGTTTTACTGTAAAACTATATAATAGTATAGGATTCATTTCGGCTTCTGAAACCAAGCACAAATATTCATTGCAGTGCCAAGCTGTCGTAGGAGCGTTTTAATTAAAAGTGGGAAAACATGTTTATCATTTAAAAGTTCAGACATGATCACCATGCAAAAAATGTTTTGAACACACGAGTACGTCTTTATCCTCTTTGCAGACTATTTTCTTCCCTGTCTCTGTCTGTACGTTGCTCTCTTACTTCCTACTTTGTGTGTTCTGTAGTCTACACTGGCTCTGGAGACTCCACTGTAAGACAGTACGACACAAAAACGGCTTGTTTAATGCATATATTCCAGGACACAGAGACATCTGTAAGCTGTCTGGAGGTATGGCACATGTGTAGTATGTGAAACACATGTGTGTCACAAATTGGTACTGCACTATGTCACGTGATATATACAATATATCACAAGATTGTGACAGGTATGAACACGTGTTACACGTTTGATAAAGAAAGGACACGTGTCACGATCACTATATCGTGAATCATGCAATTCATTACAGGTGTGTCAAAACTTAATGTGTGTACATGTATCACCATATCACCTTAATGTCACACATTCATGTAAGACAGGTTATATATGTGACACGCATATCACATGTTCACTACAGATAACACAACACACCGTTACAGGTGTGACACATATCACATGTTCACTACAGGTAACACAACACACCGTTACAGGTGTGGTACATATCACATGTTCACTACAGATAAGACAACACACCGTTACATGTGTGACACATATCACCTGTTCACTACAGATAAGACAACACACCATTACACGTGTGACACATATCACATGTTCTCTACAGATAAGACAACACACCATTACACGTGTGACACATATCACATGTTCGCTACAGATAAGACAACACACCGTTACACGTGTGACACATATCACATGTTCGCTACAGATAAGATAACACACCGTTACACGTGTAACACATATCACATGTTCACTTCAGATAGGACAACACACTGTTACAGGTGTGACACATATCACATGTTCACTACAGATAACACAACACACCGTTACAGGTGTGAAACACATATCACATGTTCACTACAGATACGACAACACACCGTTATAGATTCACTACAGATACGACAACACACCGTTATAGGTGTGACACATATCACATGTTCACTACACATAGGACAACACACATTTACATGTGTAACACACATATCACATGTTCACTACAGATACGACAACACACCGTTAGAGGTGTGACACACATCACATGTTCACCACAGTTAAGGCACAACACCGTTACACGTGTGATAAATATCACATGTTCACTACAGATAAGGCAACACACAGTTACAAGTGTGACACATATCACATGTTCGCTACAGATAAGGCAACACACCGTTAAAGGTAAAGCATATATTCACAACACGCAAGACAACACACAGTTATAAGGTAAAGCACATGCTCACAAGACAGGTGTAGCTCACACCACTCCTGATGCACGATTGCACCGTCACTATAGATATATCGATATACAAGCTCGCAGAGGATATAAAATATTCATCATTCTCCTTGCTCTGTTGTGGGGACATGGCTGTCACTATCGATTGCAATGCTAATTTTCTTTTCATTTGGATATTTCTGAATTAATATTGACAATTCCATTTTCAGATATATATTAAATTCTTGGTATATTTCTTGCATCATTTCAAATATCAAGGGGAGATAATTCTTAAGCTATAACATGGGAGGGTGTAATATCAAGGGGCCCGCTTGGGCCGCTTGCGAACAAAAACATAAGATGGTCAAAATGTTCACATATTCTCTCAGAATGGAATTGCCATTAATATTTGGCACCAATGGCGGAGGACATAGCAGCAAATAATCTCGGTCACCAAGACGCTTCATCGCGCGTGAGGAAAATAAGGGTCTGGCTGACCGAGATTATGCGATAAGTCTATTACCCGGCAAACCTATAGTGATTGTCAGAAAAAATAAGTTAATAAAAACAAAACATCATGACCTAGTAAGGAACACAGTAAATACGTTATCCAACCAAGGAAGAGTTCCTTAAACTTCAGGTTAAATAAATATTGGAGCCAAATATTTGTCAGGTTTGTTTATCGAAATGAAATACACTATTGCTGATATTAGGATCTCTCCACCTGACTTTTACAATATTTGTACTAACAGATCAAGATAATGTCATTCTGATACATTATGAGTTTAAGGGGAGATAATTCTGATACATAGGAATGACATGAGAAAACAATACGGGACAGTTTTTGTCAAATGTATGTCTAGGGGAAGGTAACTCTGATATAATTACTGATAAAACAGGGGAAATTATATGTAATGGGCCAGATGCCATTTTGTGTACGTCACATCTATTTTCTAATTTCTCCCCTTCCTTCTTATTCTAACCTGCTACTTTCGGTTTGTGTAAGATGTTGGCCTATGTATGTACTGTTCTAAACTTCCCTTGTGCTGTTCCAGGTCGTAGATGGTCGTCTGTTCACTGGGTCGTTTGATGGTTGTCTAAGGGTCTGGGACGCCACGGGAATAAAGGAGGAGACCGTGTTTGGAAAGGAGGAAAATAAGGAAAAAGAAGTGAAGGAAAACGGTCAGACTAAAGGCGGGATTCCGGATAATCAGGTCGACAACAACCAAAACAACAACAAAATTATGATTGACTAGGATTTTCCAACATTCGACCTGCAGTATCCTTTGGCTGTGCCAAATGAGAAAAATTGACCTCTAGTCCCAACTTGGTTGTGAACTCTGGCACAATACCGTATGACTTTTTGTCGCCATTTGACTCTGACCTCTGTTATGATAAATTGACATTTTTTGTGTTCGTAGAGAGATGACTGTAAGTTTTAAATGGCTGGCTGGTGACGCCATAGTCACGTGTTAGTACCGTGGTGTTTACATTCGACTGACTGTTGTTATCAACAGTCTAGTATTTATTGTACAGTGGATTTTGTTTGTGTTTATAGATTATTTCAAGTGATCATCTAGATAAACTTGCTTTTGTATTTTTTTAGATAAGATGTACTGAAAATTCCAGTAGCTCTGTAATATAACCCTCACCCCAACACACTTAGAAGATTTAATTTCTTCAAATGTGCGCAAACTACAAGGGTTTCATGTTAATGATTTCGTCCCTATCGAGTCAATAGCTAAATTTAAAAAATATATCTAAATCATTCCACTTCTTAAGTAATGAAGGAGACAGCTTCAGAGGAGAGGTGTGTAGATTTTGTAAACTATCAAAACATTAACTAGAATTATTAACAGCTTGGGCGAAAATGGGACACTTTATATCTATCGCAGGGAAAGTCGCTTTAAAGTTTCCGTGTTCTGTCCTTGACTCGATTTTTATAAATCATTTCGTCTAGTTCTATGCAGTAGTCATCATAGATTTGTTGTAAAAATGGCGGTTCTTACTCCATCTGTATATATCATGCCAGCGCACGACTGTCCTTTCGTTAGCTTGTCATATGACGTCATATAAGAGTAACGTCTTGTAGTTGGACTTGGCAAGATGATTACTGAAGAAAGGTCAAAGGTCATTATATTCTTCTGCTTCACACGTTAGGGAGTTTTTTTTCTCGACTATCAAAAATCATAATGTGTCTAGTAGTTACTAAAGTTTGCCCCCCATTACTTACGTCACTTCCGGCTTGGAACTAATGTTTGTAACTCTGTTCAGGCGGTTGTACAAAGTGAATCTTTACAGTTTAATCTAGTTACGTAAGAATCAAGAACATTGTTTCATTTCGTGATGGGATCTTACTTAGAGGAAGCGTTCATAAACACACTTCTGTCACGTGATCATTATTGAGTGGTTAGATAGGTTGTCAATGTCATATATTCGGGTTCTTATAATAGATCGTGCACCATGATAGTGATGTCTACGGCGATGGAAGAATTCACAGAATTCTGAAGTCGTGCTTAAAGGGAGATAATCGAAAGTGAAACCCATTTTATGTCATCGTCATCGTCGATATGGTAAGGTTAACCTGAGCGAGGTCACCTTTTGCGCTAGATTCAATTTCAGATAACTTGTAGCCTGTTAACATGCGTGTGTTCGTGATAAAGCGCGAGGCCGCGTGGTTTAGGCGTCTGATCGCCTTTATCGCCTTTACCTCTGGGTCGCCGGTTCGAGACCTTCGTGCCATAGTCGGCAGAAATGGCCGGAAGTTGGTGATTTTTTCTCCGGGAACTTCAGTTTTCTTCCACCACCCAAACCTGGCACGTCCTTAAATGACCTTGGCTGTTATCAGGACGTAAACCAATTATAATAAAATAGTATAATCGCGTGGGACAGTATTAAAACCACCAAAGGTTCAAAACCCATGAATGGAGGACAAACAATAACACAAGGCGAATCAGGATATGTCACAAATAATAAATGTTTATGTCTGTAACTGCTTATACGAAGGTCACACATATGTAAACAAGGGAAGCAACCCACAGATCTTCGCCCACAAACGAATTTTTATCGACACTGATCTAAATATTCATGTCTTTGGCGATTCCTCGTGTTTTTTGTTACGTAAGTGAGTAGTTAGGTGTAAATGTATGATTAGTAAAAATTTTTAAAGAATTCCTACATCATTATGCATGTGCGAATATATGTATATTATACTGCTGACTATCATATCACTGTTCTGTTCGAATTATTCATGCATTGAACCAATTGGTTAGAATATTAAGGAAAGAATCCTTTCCTATACAAACTTTTTATTAATTTTTTGGTAAACGAGTAGAAAAGTTATAATTAAAAATGAATTTATCGGTGTTTTTTTAAAAATACATGTAATTGTAAAGAAAATCATATATTTTTCGTTTAAATGGAATTTCTAATTTGGGAAACACAAATGTAGTATATTTGACGTCATCCAGTTAATTTTTATTATTCTAGTGAAATCATTTTAGCGTGAATTATCTTTTAGCAATATATACTAATGGTAAACTAACAGGGATATTTAAGTGCAGTAACAGCAATTTAGAAGTATTCATATTTTAAGTATAGAAATAGTTCAACAAATATCATGTTTCGGGGCCAATCATCATTTAGATACTTTAGATATTTTAGTACATTTCACTTTAATTCGATAGTGCTTAATGATAATTGCTAAAGTTAGTGTCTGTTTCTGCTACTGATAAGTGTACTGCTGTAGCATGTTGAGTGTAACTAGAAACTAGTTTTGATTCCCAGACGTGGTAACGTTCATTGTACACTGTCTCATCTATAAAAATATGTATTTATGTTGAATAATTATTCCGCCTTTTTGTAATGCATGAGTTATCCGCTCTTGTGTTGTTACGTCATTTGTTTGTGGGAGTAACGTCATGAGAAACGACGTAATTTTCCTCACGCAAACTAATGACATAATGATCAATTATACATGCTCACATTACGAAAAAACGGAATTTATGCTTAAAATCTTTATTACAAGTATCCAAGAAGTAACATACGAACAAAACTTCATATTTTTGCAAACTGTTCGATATCATAATCCCTGGAGCGTTGTATTTTAGATTCAAACTTCAAGATAGTAACATATAGCATTCGTTTACTAATAGCATGTAGATTTGGTGACTAAGATCTAAAATTAATGTTCCTGTCAATTTTTCTCCCACTTTATAAACGTCAATAGTGAAGAATTATACCATTATCACATTGGAAATATAAACGGTATACTTCCTAAGGATTTGGCGAGGATTTCCTGGTTTTAAATAGTAAGGAACAAGAGAAAAGTGTTCGTCAATCCATTGTACCATACACTTGATAAAGATTCAGGTTAAAGACAGCAGTGATTTAACAAACAAAAATCATACTGATAACGTATTAGTGAAATCGCTCTATGTCGACTAACGGTGAGCGCGAGATCAAATACCACGTGGCGTGCATTGTTACCTTATAAACTCGATTTGACTTTGTAGGCAAGCTGGGTCGATTCGCGTGTATCCCAGCCAATTTTTGAGTATATTACATTTGTGGATATGTGTACTTGAGCAGGTTGGTCATTGTAATTTGAGGAAATTCCTTGATTTCATGTGTATACTACCGTGATTTTAATCTATTTACAGAATGTTTTGATGATGTAATCTCTATTTGAGTCTTCTGACATAACAATGTTTAGTCGATCTGAGTCCGTTAACCTGACTAGCTAACTCGATTTGAGTTACATACCTGACTAGCTAACTCGATTTGAGTTACATACCTGACTAGTTAACTCGATTTGAGTGTGTTAATGTCACTTTCGAAGTATGTTAACTCGATTTGAGCGTGGTAACGTTGCTTTCGGAGTGTGCTTACTCGATTTGAGTGTGGTAACGTCACTTTGGAAGTATGCTAACTCGATTTGAGTGTGGTAACGTCACTTTCGAAGTATACTAACTCGATTTGACCTTGCAGTCTTAAGGTACTTACACGAACTTGAGTGAACTGCTTTGGTTTTTCAGTGTGACCATTTGCAGTTAAGATATCATTTCTTAAACAGGTATGCTAACTCTATTTGAATGTTCTTACCTTTCATATAACTTGTCATATTTAGTGTAAAAACTCTACGTCCTATGTGTGAACTCAGTTTTAGAGTAAAACTTTTCAAACACATAATTGAAGTATGCATGTTTCTGGAGTTTGACGATATTTCTATTGGATTGTTTACTTTTTTTTTACGTCATCATTTTGTCTTATTCTTAGATAAGCCAACATCTATTGTAAATTCAATTAGATATACTTAGAACTATGCTTGATGTAAAGTTTTAAGTAAATATTTGCTGGTGACTCATTTTGCTTTTGAAACAAGTAGCCTTCCGAGTGGGTCGTTGTGCTACATCTCCCAAAACCCGCCCTAATGAAAGTTTTTAATGAAATAGAAATAACAATACTTAATTACTGTTAATTTCTCCATCACTAAATTTTTCTTTAGAAAGTTCATCTTGCATGTTTCCATGCGCTATTGAAAGTGAAATCATATTATTTATACAAAGTTTTTTTGCTCTATAGTCACTCCGCTTCAGATGACGTTCTGTGCCACTGAAAAACCGTCTTTCACAGGGTTAATGACGCTATATCGGTTATTCTAATACCACAAAGACTGGCATTGATTAAGTCACCTTAATTAAAATAAAAATTTGGAAAATATATTACCCGATCGGTTCGCCAGTCGTAACAATTCTTTTTATTTATTTCTAGAATTAACAATACCTGTTCAAACTTTTACACAGATGGTTTTAGAAATTGCGTACCAGTCCGTAAGTCAAACCACAATTTTTTTTTTAGAAAATCATCCTGGAATTTAGCAAGGTAACAAATTTCCTTGCTTTCGAAATTAAAATCGTCGAAGTATTTGTCATCAGGTTACCGATGTCGATGGCTGAAATCTGCCTAAGCTTGGCGTTCAACCAGACGAATGTATAAATTTATTTTGTTATAATAAACGTTAATTGGTTGTTAACATGTGTCATTTTGTTGTTTTTTTCATCTGATCCACTGCAGGTAAGCTTACCGTTATGTCGTCGTCCGTCCGTCTTAAAAACGCTCGCCTCCATTTTGAAAAGATGCATCATTCCCAATTCTACCATGCTGTTAACAGAACACGATAGTAGTCTCTTTTTCTTTATCTGATCCACGGTTAGCTTACCACTATGTAGTCCGTACGTCCGTCTTAAAAACGCTCGCCTCCATATCGAATAAAAACAAGACATCCAAGTGGGATTTTGTTTTTCAGATCATTTTAAATATGGGACAATGCTTAACTAGGTACCAAGAGGAAGCTAAATATGGAATTTGAGAAGGATCATGTCACAGCGATAACAAACTACTGTATTACTGTCGACATCCAAGATGGCTGCCTGTGGGCCACCTTGATTTCACATCAGTTCAAAAAAGGTACACTGCACAACTAGGGACCAAGGGGAAGCTCCATATGAAATTTGACAAAGATCCATCCAGTACTTTCCCAGAAATAGCGGTAACAAACTTTTACTTCCAAAATCCAAGTTTGCTGACAAGCGGTCATGTTGATTTCAGAAGTCCAAAAAAGTACAATGCACAATTAGGGACCAAGGGGAAACTGCATATGAAATTTGACAAAGATCCATCCAGTACTTTCCCAGAAATAGCGGTAACAAACTTTTACTTTCAAACTCCAAGATGGCCTCTTGAATTCGAATCAGTCCAAAAAAGGAACAGTGCACAACTAGGGACCAAGGGGAACCTGCATATGAAATTTGAGAAAGATCCACCCTGTACTTTTCCAGAAATAGCGGTAACAAGAATTGTTTACGGACGGACGGACCACTCCTCCCTTCAGTGTTTGACCCTGAAGACCACAACCCAGGTTCAATATCCCCGAGGAAGCAACTCAATCTCCTATAGCTTCTACCCTTGGAGTGGTTAACGACACAAATCTGTATTAAGGAGTAATGATAAACACCGTCACCTCTGTGGTTCGAATTTGCGACCCTTCGATCACTAGTCGGACTCTATACTGCTCGACTACAGGGAAATCCCCACTACTCGAGGCTAGTTCTCTCAACGTCTTCACTAGAATGCTTCCTACTGGTCATTTGTTTGATGGTAACCATCACCGAAATGTCCCACCCGAATCTTCTACTGGTTGTGTTATAAGATGAAGGTGACCGTGTAGTCACTGAAATGTCACATTCTAATCTTCTACTGGTTGTGTTATAAGATGAAGGTGACCGAGTAGTCACCGAAACGTCAGTCTTATCTTTTAATGGTTGTGTTATAAGTATTTTTATTGTTTTTTAACATTTTCAACCTTATGGACAGACAGCCACAACAGACAAGCTTGAAGAATAAGTTTGCCAAACAGAGATTAGGCCTGCATCAGATCCGTGACAGAATTTGAGAAAACGTGATTACAAGCTTTAGTTATGAAGCCAAAAATGAAATTTGTTTAAAACTGAGGGATATCGCGGTTCAAGATAAAAACACAGGCATACAGTCCCGTATCACTTATCTCGGACATCTTAACACCAAATCTGGACAAAATCCAATTATTACAGGAGGGTAGGATTTTAAAGAATTTGAGTTATTTCACCTACTAGGACTCGCCCTTTACTACCCAAGGGTTGAGACCCATTGTTCATACCAAACTGATTCCCCTTCACCAAAGAATGCGGCAGACCAAATTTGGGCAAAATCCAATTATTCCCACAGGATTTCATGTACACAGAAAATAAATTTTTATAAAGCCTGCTACCTTAGAAATCTGTGGACAACTCCAACAATATGAAAATAATGTCCCCAACCTTTCTAAATAGGTTTAAAATACAATGTCAAAAGGTCTACAAGAGTCAACTTCAGTGCCCAGTTACCTTGTCCATACAACGTGGTTTGGATAAACAAAACAACATTTGTTTTATTACAAAAATGCCATCTTTATTTCATTAAATAGAGCATGCATATACACTATTTCTAAATGTGACTTGATCTACAAGTAATCTATTTCATAAAGAACTGACGACAGTATTTGTATATTGCATTAACAACCTTAATTTCATCTGTGTAACATTTGTCTACGAATCAGAATAAAGAGCCGAGAAAGAAAGAAATTGTAAAAACATAATAAAAGTCTATTTCTAATATAAACTAACTAAAATGTAAAGACAGGCAAAAAAAATCATTTCGAAAATAATTACAGAAATATATATACAATAATATGATGGATGAACATGACTTTATACCAAAATGATGCAATACAATAGCTGGATGGATACAATACTCGCCTATACTGATCAATAATTATCTGATATGTAGGACTCAGACTTAGTAGGCACATGCGATTAAAATAAGTTTTAAAATCACATCACAACAGTTAAGTTAAAATCTTTGAAGATAAAAAGTGACTGGTATTAAAACACAGCATTAGACTTATTGGACCTTTATTTTTGCATTACCAGAAATCTAAAATGACTATAATCTGAGTGATTTCAATACAACCAATAGATTCAAAATGTGATTTGTTTCAAACACCAAGTATTATTTTTGATAGGAATGGAATTTAAAATATTGTGATATATTCCTTTTGAAGTATGGATGGATGCGAATTGGAATGACTGAATATTTACAAACAATATTTACTATTTTAACCTCTGGTCCAGCAGGTGCCCACCCACCAAGTCTCTCAACACAAAATTCTCCCCCTAATTTTGTCTCCACAACCTTAATCCAAAATGAATATCATACACTTAATTTTTTTTAACAGTTAAAGGTTAATGCGTTATCATGGATTAGAACTTAAATTTTCACTGAATTTCCTTCTTGTAACAAAGAACATATTGAAAAAAGTTTTTTTCAGAATTTATGAAACAAGAGACAGTTTTTCTGAGAGACCTGATGAAGTGTTAAGAGAGTGAATAGTGATGTGTACAAAATGTGGGTGTTTTTTTTTTTATTTGGTTATCACCAAAGATGAGTAATTTATGACAACAATATCCAAGTAGTTATGTTAAATGTTTAAATACAAGTGAATGAAACATGACTTTCTCCGACACGTACATTACAGATCCTCTTGGCTATGGTGTAAATGACAACAGTTTGGAAATTCTGAATACAGGTTTTCAATAGGTCCTTCTTGCTGTGTAATATAACCTGATCTGTTAAATATCAGACCACTTTTGTGTCCTCAATAAAACATACTGCCTATATGAATTAAAATCATGACATAATTGTTTCATACCAAAAAAAATTCCATGATGGACATGTTTGAGAACTGAAGACTTTGTATTGTCCCTCAGACTCAAATGGATGTGTTGGTATATAATTATTATTTGTTATCCAAGAATTTTCCACAACTCTCATGGAGAAGTTCTTTTTATAGACACACAAACACAAGATGAGGTTCATGAAACATAACACTGATTTGAGAAATGGGATTGTTCCAATATCATTCCTGGACTTTAGATCCACTTAATCTGTCCATGTTTTTGGCTGCACACAAGTGTTTATAAAACTGACTCCGATGATGTTGAGAGAATGTCTTTCCTAGTTTGGTAGACGTGTCATGTTCACAGATCTGTATCATACCAGTTGTCCATGTTTCCTTGACTTCCTCCTTGTTGAGGGGGCAGAGACGGCTCCAGGGTTTCGAAATTCAGTTCTCCAGATTGTGGTGGTGCCCCGAGATCAGGTATGTTGTCCATAGGGCCACCATACTGGCTACCATGGTGACTTCCAATTTCAAGTCCCTGCATGGAGTCTATGGGCACTTGGGGCTCATAACCTAGCAATACAAAGAATTGAATCAGTGAACAGAAAAACTAAATTTCATTAATCCTTGATATGAATTTTATCATCCCCAATACCCTTTTCTGCACCCCTGCAACACTTCAAGGCAAAATTGAAGGTTCCATGTGTGACACCTTGTGAATAAAACGAAAAGACTAATTTGATGTACATCAAACAAGAATCTAGGTGTCAAAACGGCTTGTTGAACTGGCTCTGAAGTTAGGTGTTCTTCCTTTGTAATCTGCAAAGGAGCCTATAAGTCTTTAATTGGTCAGTTTTCATAACCTGAAGCCAGTTCTAGACCAATCAAATTACTTTGCTTGTGCCTTCAGTTTTGCAATTAACTGTTCCATGGGTGCAGAGAGGGAAAGTGATCGTAACCCCTGGAGTTGTTGAGGATGGTTCCAGTGGTACAGAGAGGGAAAGTGATCATAACCCCTGGAGTATCGAGGATGGTTCCAGTGGTAGAGAGAGAGAAAGTGATTGTAACCCCTGGAGTTGTTGAGGATGGTTCCAGTGGTACAGAGAGGGAAAGTGATCGTAACCCCTGGAGTTGTTGAGGATGGTTCCAGTGGTACAGAGAGGGAAAGTGATCATAACCCCTGGAGTATCGAGGATGGTTCCAGGGGTACAGAGAGGGAAAGTGATCGTAACCCCTGGAGTATCGAGGATGGTTCCAGGGGTACAGCGAGGGAAAGTGATCGTAACCCCTGGATTATCGAGGATGGTTCCAGGGGTACAGAGAGGGAAAGTGATCGTAACCCCTGGAGTATTGAGGATTTAATTTACATGTGGAAAGATCTAAAACCTAAATTAGTAGCACCCTAAAATTACTGATTACTTGTTTAAATATCAAAGCAAAGTTTACATAAATAGAACAAGTGATCCACAAATCTTTTGTTTAATACGTGGCTCAGACATCCAAGGAAGGTACTAAGAACATCATCGAGCGGTGCAGCCCATCTGTGGAAACCGCGAATGATGGATAAGGATTTCATCATTGCCACAACAATCTATGTTATTCAGGACTCTCAATATTCTGGAGTTTTTATTTAAGACCTAAGTTTGAATATAACCTTGAAGTATTATCAAGTTAAAGGATTATCCAGAAGTAGACATCATAGGAGATGAAACAGGAACTATATTTACAATCTCTCTGCATATTCGATGTCAATGTTTGATAATAAAAAGAGAGGTGAATAAAGGAATTTACACATCACCTGTACCCTCAAAGTGCTCAGTTATTTCATATGTCACACATAATATTATCTATTAAAAGGGCCTCTAATACCCAATACAAATATTTAGAACATGGCTAAGTATCGCTAAGTGTCGCTAAGTAACAGTTGTGATGTAAAATGTTGAGAAGGAAGTGTATAATGTGTGCTCACCCCTGCTCATGTCGTGTTGACTTCCGCTGTGCATGCTGCCCTGGCTGCCGTGATGCTGAGGCTGATACATTTGATCTCTGTATGAATCGTCGTGTCCCATCATACCAACATCGTCAAAACCTGGAGGCTGTACATAGAGAAAGTATTCATTAGTCCTTGTAACTTGGGGAGTTTATAATGTACAACTGATACAGTGTTCATTTGTCCTTGTAACTTGAGGAGTTGATAATGTACAACTAGCACGATTGTCAATGTCCATTAATATCTGAATGTTCATTAGAAGCATTTGTAAAAAAGATCTGTATCTGTAAGATTTTGTTAACCGACTATGTTGTTCCTAGAAACTCACTGAACTTAGCTTATAAAAACATGTACTCTGCAAACAAGTCAAAAATGTTCTTTGAAGCCAGCAAAAATTTAATTTCTACACATGGAAAGTGCTAAATATGTTCTACCAATAATTAGAATTGATAGTTTTTTTTTTGTTTAAAATTCACATTACTTCTATTAAGAGTAATATTTTTTGTAAGTCAAATTCCAAAGTTTTTCTTTTTCATCCTAAAGTGAAAAATAATTTTGAGTGCACAATTTTCCATTTTGTTACTTTAATTCAAACTTTAAATTTGCCCATGTAATACTGTTTTGTATACAGGTCACTAGTGTAATATACCATTGAGCCGCCTTTGATGACAGAATTTGTTTTCATTTCATTTTCATTTTGTGAAACTTGAACCTTACTTAAAATTGGCTAAACTTACCTCAGTCCAGGATGCAATGTTCTGGTCCCCTCTGAATAAAGAGCTGGTCAGTTCAACAGACAGTCTCTTTTTGTAATCCTGGGGCTTATCCTCAGACATACGGAAAAGCACTGCAGCAGCATATGTTGCTGAAAACAAGTAAATAAAATTATCTATGTGAATCAAACAAAATGGCAATATTCATTATTGTTTGAGAGTACACACAAGACCCGAATTACTTCATGTTTGAACTTGGTTACCTCCCCTTAGACTATGACCATTTCCTTCATGTTACAACTTGGTTACCTCCCCTTACAGAAGACAATGACTATTTCCTTTTACTTGTCGGATTTATCTCCCTTTACTTACCAACTCCCTCGTTCCTAGAGTGCAGCAGTTCTGTTAGAGGTGCTGTGGCCCCTTCTTGTTCTATCAGCTCGGCACCCTCCTTGTCAGCTGCCAGCTCACACAGGACTCCTGCAGCCACACGCTGTATGTTTTCTATTGGTGAGTACAGCAACTGTGGAAGCAGATTAAAACATGAGTTACAAAAATTCTAATGTAGTCAATTTCTGACTACAAAGAGCCTAGATGTTTGTTCTGGGACAATAATACATATCTTATTAGTATAGTATTCTCTTCAAAACAATCCCAAATGAGAAAATACATTTGCTTTGTATGAAAAATCAAAATGTTGTGAAATGACTTGCGGATGATTAGGCACAACTTGTTAGAATGAGATGCAACGCTACCTGTACAAATAGTGGGATACAGTTGAGTCCCCTGATGACAGCGCGGTTGTGAGCCTCGCGGGCAAGGATGTGTAAAGCTCCAACAGTTCCTTCCACTATCTCCTCCATTCGTACTCCATCAACATATCCAGATCCTTGTCCATTTGAACTGATCGAGGCTCGCTGCAATAAGTAATACAACTTAGTATAGGATTACAAACACCAGTTATCTGAAAACACTAGTTTGTGAAAAAATATCTTCCACGTTCTCAAAATAAAAATGTTCAGCAGTTTTTCCATTTTTTTGTTTTGTTGAAAATTTGAATTAAGAAAGCTAATCAGTGTTACAGCTTTCAATATTTTTGTTGTAATCTATTTAAATATCAATAGTAGAAGCACTTTGAAAGGTAATCTAAACCTTCTAGACATTTTCTCCCATAAATTTCACATATGACAAGTTATAAAAGGGACATTGTCCTCACCCTCTGTGTGTCTTGGTGAGCTCTGATTAACAGATGTACGATACGAGGGAGGGCACCGTGTTCCCTGAGTGGGGCATGGTTGGCTGGGCAGAGGGCCAGATTCCTTATGAGGCCTACAACTGCTTTAATCAGAGGCCAGCGGCTTGGAGGATGGAGAAGTTTGACCAGGACTGGTAGACCATAGTGAAGACGCACTGCATTTTGGGCCATCTCAGATTCTGGATGTCTGCTTGTCAAATGGCGTAGGGCGCATACCTGAAGAATTAACACAAAAATTGAATAAAGGAATCTTTGTTGATAAATGGCTGACATTTCTACATCAAAGATAGGTGTGGGTATACTATACACCTTTTATATAACAATTGGAACAAGGCATTACTATGATACAAATTGCTTAACTCCCTTTTATAATGGCATGCTGAAACAAACTCAGGATATTGACCAAAATGTGATCAAAATCAGTTGCTAGTGATGACAAAAAGTGAACATATGGTTGTATGAAAGGCTATAACCCCTCCGTGACGGGATAATAACAACCTAGATTAAATAATTCACTTAAAGTATTAAAGGAAGGAAACAATACTTACTGCTGGTTCTGTGATGTCCTCCCGATCACCAGCCTGTAAGATGGTCCGTACTAGAGCCTCAATACCTCCAACCTGGCAGACTATCACCTTATTCCTCTGGTTGTTACAAGTCAAATTAGACAGAATACCTGCAGCACAGGTCACCACATTGAGATCATTGGATGACAAGAGTTGTACCAACATCTGTAGTAGTCCTTCCAAGTTATCCTACAAACAAGAAATTCATCAAAATGTCACAACTGTAATGCTGAACTGATATTTCAAAGTCAAAATAAGTTCTCATTGAAAATAGCAATAAATTTACCTTTTCAGAAATTTCTCCATTCAAATATGTAACCCTCCCAACATTTGTTACAAAATATTGAACCTTTTTTATCATACATTTCTGCATTTTCTAAAGTCTCTGACTATAAAACAATTATCTTTTAAAAATTTTCAATTTGAATACAAGTTTTTCTTTTTTTATTTTATTTCTTAAGGCAAGTTTAGCAAAGATATGAAGTAGATAATATTACGTACACATTTGGTAGCAGCATCAGACAGATTTCTGATTGTCCAAAGACAGTTCTGTACAAGACGCTGACTTTGGTGTCCAAGGTTCATGGCTAACGCCTGCATACCTCCTACATGGTGAAAAGAAACATAATAAATACAAAGTGTTTCCAAAAAAATTTCTCTTCAAAATGACAAGTGCACCCCCCCCCCCCCCCCCCCATTTTTTTTTGGATAGTTGGCACGATTTACCTTTGCTTATTAATTGTAACAAAAATCTAAGGTATTATGATGGTTGTCTTACTTACCAGCTTCAACAACAGCCGGTTTGTTACTAGAGCAGACTGATAAAACCTTGAGAACACGAGACGTGGTCCATAGCAGTTTTTCGTATGTGTATGAGCGCATGATTCGTACCAGCTCTCCAGGACCTCCGCTTGCCAAGATTATCAGCTGAAAGATAAATTGAAACAATGAGTATCACTGAGCTATTTGTCCGTGTATTATTTAGTCACAGCTGTGACAACTTGATAACTTTTACATTTCAATGAAAAAAGGGAACTTATGTTCTTATTCATTTATTCATTACTCAAAATCTAAAAACTTTCAACAAATACATCATTTAGGGGTAATTTTATTACAGCACTCTTCACGCTTGAGATACTGCGCTTACAAGCGATTGCACTAATTGCAGTGTTACAGATTGTGTGTCAACAATTGCAAATGCATGTATTTCAGTGATAAATCTACATGCTTGTTCGGAGTCTTGTTATCATAAAAACATTTTTTTGAGATTCATATGTCTTCTACTTCGATCTTACAATGTGGGACACTTTAATTCTAGCAATTAAGTTGAAAAGAACTCATGAACACATATGGTAGATGGACCACTAGTATTTGTTCTAAAGTGATATGGCGCCAAAATTTGATTCCAGTTAGTATATTTAGAAGTACATTCTTTGTACATATAAATAAAGTTTCTTAAAGTATTTTCCTAATAAGGCTTAAGTTATGTTCTTCACATGTCTTTAAAGCGAGGAAACAAACTTCAGACAAAGAATGACTTGGATGAATTTCTGGACAATATCCTAAAAATTTAAAGAGAGCATCATAAAGACCACTTTAAAGCAATTTCTAGTTAGCAGATCATGTTACACACCTTGCTTTCCTGGTTGCCATAGGCCAGAATTTGTAGACAGTCTGTGGTGATGGCAAGGAATTTCACATTATTCCTCTGAAGCAATGCTACCATTTTTTGTAAACCTCCTGCAAGTCGAACGGCCATCTTGGATCCATCTTGATGCAAGAGAAGGTTGTGCAGTGTCGTAATGGCATAAAATAGGACAGATTCAATCGGTGAACTGAAAAAGAAGAGATACAATGAGCATGCTGACAAACCCCAGGATTTTGTACACTTTCAAAATTGTATTGTAAATATACTCATACATAAAGGGTGACATCATAAAAATGTTTTCTATATAGTAAACTGACCTTGAAGCCATAACAATGTCATCTAAGGTATTCTGATACACGACCTTAAGTTTATCAATGACAATGATATCCTTGACATAGTGGTGATCTTAAAATTTAAACAAACAACCCAAAATAAGGTATTCTCAAAATAGCTTGATCAAAATTCTTTCAGGACTGACACTAGAGAGATGTAGTTGGATGAAAATCCCTTCAGAAAATTAAATGAAGGTACTATATATAGTCTCTAAATCTGTTGATTTTAAATCTTTAAGCATAAACTCTGTGAAGACAATATCAAACCCGATCTTTATATGAAGTTTTATCAAAATCCGTGAGGACAGAAATACTGTAAATTTATTAACTTTTGTGGGCAAGTTTTCTTTTCATTGACATAGTGGGTCCGTGAATCATGAATCCAAGAAATGTTTAAATTAGTATAAAGTTTTGAGCTATATATATCCACAAAATCTAGTGCCAATAAAACAGTAATTTTTGAAAAACCAGGAAAATATAGCCCCACAAAAATATATAATTTTACAGTATAATCGATTCTTGAAGGGATGAAATAGGACAAACTTAGGTAACATACAACCAACAACAAATTTGTTAATGGCACATCCAACAGTTAAACTTTTTAATAACGTAACACCATCCAAATTTACCTCAATAACTTGACAAGTGCAGGTATTCCGCCAGACTTAAATATGGCCAGAAGTCCCTGTCGATGGTGAGAGAGATTGTGCAGGGTGCCAGCTGCACATCGCGTTGTCTCCATATCGTTGGTGTTGCTCATGGCACGAACAAGAGCTGCTACCATTTGTGGGGAATTCATGATAGCATGACGACTAGCCTCTTTCTTGGACAACTGATGGACCATCATGGCAGCCTGACTGACCACAACCTGGTCTTCATCGTTCAAAAGCTTGGTCAGTTCTGGAATTGCCCTTGTAGCAAGATCTGCATCATCCTATCAAAACACAAAGAAAAGATAACTCTTGTCCCGCTTATGTACCAGAGACCACTACATCATGAATTCTTCTTGAAGGGTAAATTGTGCAAGACCTAATGTTACCAACAACTTCCATTTCCATTCAAGTCAATATGACTGCATTAACTTGCTAATGAAGTTTGTGCTAGAAAGACAGTCTAATAGAACACAACCTTCGTCATAACATTACTTGATGTCAAATGTGTTAGGTACTATACTGGAGAAAATTTCTGCCATGTTTACCTGGTAGTTGATGAGGTTAATGACGGCATGTTTCAGCATCTGTGATGGTTCTGCCAGTCTCTGGACAGCAGTTGGCTCGTCAGGGTGGAGCTGGGTAGATGGAATCTGCATGCCCTCATCAAGAGTTTCTGGGAACATGGCATCCCTTACACGCTGGGTACGTGTCTGGTTCAGCTGTCGACTAACCTCTGTAACCAAAATCAATAATTATCAAATCTTCTCTTATTTCTTTCTTATTTCAAATCTTGTTTTCATGTTCGAATTCTGATGCATTTTCATCAAAATTATCTATCATTATCAGCATATGACTTAGTCTAGAGAAAAAGTTTAATCTTTTATTTCTACAGACTACATACCGTCCACCTGCTCCTGTGTATAGCCAGGATTATAGGTCTGGTCCCAGTCAAACATCATCCTTGAAGTGTCCATATTGTCCTGAGTGGCGGTTGGCTCCTCCATCTCGTCCTTCATCCCCCCCTTACTACTGATGGATGGGGCTTGTGTAGTGGCACCAGAATGGATTCCAGAATCCTGCATGTACGTGTTCTGTGACCACATCATGGTCTCTTGTTGTTTATTTTCACGCATGTCCGGTAGGTCCATGTAGTTTCCACTTCCCTGATTCACTACAAGTAGAAAACGATAATCAGAAAACTTGAATTTCATGAAAACATTCTGGGCTCTCAAGAACCGGAGACCTAAGTTCAAATATACAGCCAATCTCTATTTGACATTAGCACTTTCACAGCTTCAAAGACAAAAAATGACGCAAAATGCACAGCAGAGTCCTATTTGATGCAATGACTTTTGCCTTGTGTAGCTGGATATTAGCTTTACAGGGCCAATCAATCTAGATCATCCTTGACATCCTATATTACATTGATAGTAATCCCTTTACTGTCTGGGTATTAAACAGTTGACAACAACATAAAAAGGTCACTTCATGAAGGTAAGCTTATACATTCAGATATGTTAGAGCTTAAAGCGTATATATTTCAACATGATGGAGCAAAGTTTTCTAATTTATAACTGGCCAAACCAATTTTTGTATCAACCAAATTTTGTATGTTAAAATGGTTTGTATGGAGCTGTTTTTTTTTGCTACAACACTAGTACTGTTTCCTATGTCACCCATGACAAATGCATGTATGCCATCCACTTGCTTTCAGACTCAGAAACAATTTTGACTTTCTACTTAAATAGCTATCCGACACCTTGATGCTAAAAAACATGTTTCAAAGTTTACCATTTATTTCTTCAGCCATCTTCTACATCTTTCAATGAATTTCACTGCATTGTTTAAACATCAATTCTATGCCCAAATTGATTTTTATTTTCTTCTTATGATTGTTATGTTAACCAAATAATACCTCATATGGAAATTGAAGTTATGAAAATTCAAATTACAATTTTGCTTCAAGTTTAATCAACTCACTTACCTAGAATTTGCATAAAAATAATATAACTGACATCTTTCTTATGCATAATGTAAATTTCATTTTCCCTAAAACACAGAAAAATATTATGGTACCGATGACCAATTATAAAAAAATCACAATGGATTATCGCAACATGATTAGATGTGATTAAATTCAATGTCTGTACCCTAGTTTTCACCTCAGAAAAAGCTTTGTAAACAAAGGATGTACAGTTTTTTTTATTATAAAGAATAGCATGAATACACAGTATATGGTCACCTCTTGAAATCTTATCCCCAATTAAAGAACAGTAGGTTTTAAAGGTCATTCTTACAACTAATTACACAATTAAAGCTTGAGTTGATCAAATCAAGATTGATCTAAATGTACAGATTATTTATTGATATACATTTATCTAATAGACTAGTACAGCTATCACATTGTGAATGTGTGGCAGGGTGCTTGGGAAACATTTCTTTTATAATGCTTAACATCACAAGTATAACCAAACTATGGCAGTTTCAGATGTTTTTGCATCATAAATCATTTATTTCATTAAATCTGAATTTGAGGAAATTTGCAGTGTAAATTGTTCTATGAATTCACTGATCATTCCACACATGTATTTGATAATGTCTAATAAAAAAAGAAGTTCTTTTCCCCACCAGGAACTTTTTTCCCAAGGGGAGATAATCATTTGTTCATGTTGTGACGCCCTTTCACCCTTGACTGGTTCTATTCCCACAGGCAGTACGGTTGTAGCACTAATGTAATTAGCCTGGGCGTAGTGATGCTGTGTCTAGTTACATATGTTTTATAAATTATGCCACCATATTAATATCCCCAGGGGGCCCTGCTCACATTGCTGTCTGGGTATTGAAGTCATTCATGTTGTTTAGAGGCACATATGGGGAAACAAGAAATATAAACTATATAGGTATAAACATAACAGTGACAATTAAGGTTTTATTATGAAAAGGAAAAAAAAGAGAAATTTGGGAAGAATTTTCAATGAAGCTCACTAGAAAAAAACTATTATAGAGAAATAAATACAACTAAATTATTTTGTTATTTTAGAAAATTTCTTTGCATTTTAATATCTCTGAATTTTTTCTTCTTATAAAAAACTTTCCTATTGCGCCTCTTTGACTCTTGTATGACACTCCTCATGTATTTCACAGCTAAGTGAAAATTACGATGCTTCAGCTACATTTCCTTTACTTTCTCAACCTACCACACTCATTCTGGTGTTACAGTCTCAACATACTACACCTGTGTTACACTAATCATTCTGGCGTTACTTTCTCGACCTACTACACCTGTGTTACACTATATAAACTCACTCATTCTGGTGTTACAGTCTCAACATACTACACCTGTGTTACACTAATCATTCTGGCGTTACTTTCTCGACCTACTACACCTGTGTTACACTATATAAACTCACTCATTCTGGTGTTACTGCCTCAACCTACTACACCTGTGTTACACTATATAAACAAAATCATTCTGGTGTTACTGTCTCAACCTTCTACACTGTGTTACACTATATAAACTCACTAATTCTGTTGTTACTGTCTCAACCTACTACACCTGTGTTACACTATATAAACTCACTCATTCTGGTGTTACAGTCTCAACATACTACACCTGTGTTACACTAATCATTCTGGCGTTACTTTCTCGACCTACTACACCTGTGTTACACTATATAAACTCACTCATTCTGGTGTTACAGTCTCAACATACTACACCTGTGTAACACTAATCATTCTGGCGTTACTTTCTCGACCTACTACACCTGTGTTACACTATATAAACTCACTCATTCTGGTGTTACTGCCTCAACCTACTACACCTGTATTACACTATATAAACAAAATCATTCTGGTGTTACTGTCTCAACCTTCTACACTGTGTTACACTATATAAACTCACTAATTCTGTTGTTACTGTCTCAACCTACTACACCTGTGTTACACTATATAAACTCACTCATTCTGGTGTTACTGCCTCCCCCTCCTGAGTTCATCTGGTAGGTACTCATGGTTCAAATTGGGTTCTCCTTGAGTCTGCAAAATACAAAAATATATCATACAATGAATATTTGAATTAAAGATATTCACGTACAATAGCATTTTTTCGTTAGATCTTTTTCGGAAATTGCATTTTTTCTTTTTGTTTCATAATTCATCCAACTGAAGCAAGATACAAAATGTAATACAACATGCTTTGGAAATTTCTGTTGATAAAATCACATTTACACATCAAATAAACAATTTTGTGGAGCATCTTTTTCCAATTTAGATACAAGCACCATTGTGATGATGTTTATTTGGAATATTGTAGGAAATGTAAATGTTCTAGCTGCCTCGGACCAGTGCAAGACTGTTGTGTGAATTTGACTTGGCGTCATTCGGCCTGGCAGCCATACGGTTCTCTCCTCAGAACTTTGTCGGTATCTTAACCAGCATCAGAAACAGAACATGTTTATGGCTCACAAATTTGGAGCAAAATAAGAATTAATTAGTGTGGTACTGATGGAGATAAGAGTTTGCTGGAGTTTGGGTTTTGATATTTGGAAATGCAGAATATATGTATTTCATATTCTACACATTTTAACTGAGCTTGTTAATATTCTTCACAAGTGTTTTATTGAAGTTAAGAAAATTTATAGTCGCCACAGCTGAAAACACATTTTAAAAGAAATCAATTTTGCAACACAAAACAAAACTTTTGTTGTCATCCAGTTGCTTTTACCGGAATTGTCGGTATAAAACCAACCATAAGAGTGACTTCTAAGCATCGAGACTGAAATACTAAACACCGGTTTGAACAAAGGACCACACCAATTTTCCGACAAGTTCAATCGTACCGTTTACACTTCCTGTAAAGTGTAACAGGGGCTCAATTACATCCATTTTTTTCATGTGCACAATTTTTAAAAGCTGATTATCTGCAAGATTACCCTTACAATTTCCTTAAAACTTCTCAACTCTGACGCGAAATTACTCAAGATCAAAGCAACACCGATATTATGTAGGTCGGTAGATTGTATCTATTGATCCATCCTGTTAGTGGTAATACAGAGTTTTTACAATGAACAATAAAACTTTTTATATTAAATAATTGTGGTATGCATAAATACTTATTTCAGTGAATTTCTTCACAAGGAATTACAAATAGGATTTTATATATACAGAGTAATGTTCAACAGTGTTATTCCCAAACGCTATTAATCTTTTCAATTTTTGCATGAAAAACTTCAATTCACTTCTAAATTAAATTTCCATCATTTGCTTTGCATTTACTCTACACTGATGTTTTAAAAGTCTATGAAATTTGAATAACACTCGCTTGAATGAAAAAAGTTTGACCCAAGCTTACACCAGTTTAATTTAAAAAAAAAAGACAATTAATCTTCACTAGGCTTTGAAAACTGCTTGAATATATTTAAATATATAAGGATGGGCTTGAGACTGTGATAATATTATGTGCTGATAAACTATGAGTAATTCTATTCTTATCTCCAATCTCTGACAGAAGGCTGAAACCCACCTCCGGAAATTACACACTTCAACGACCTCAGCTCACCTAGTGCAAAGTATATGTGTAACCTTGCGAAGCAGAAATTCACAGGTCAGGTGGAAAAGTCTAGACAACATTTCATCCTAACAGTAGGGACTGAGAATTCACTTCATGGTTGTTGATGGTAGGAAAAGTTACTTACATTGACCACCTGGATTTGTAAATCAACAATACAACTAAAACCTACCAACCTGCACCTCTTCTTCTTTTATAGAGTACCTGTCATTAAATTTAAACACCTTATATATCTTACTTCTTACCTAATAACACAGGAATTAATCTAACCCTGCTGGTATGATTTCCTCTTTCAAATCTAATTGAAAATATACTAAACATGGGAATATTTCTCAAAAACAGGGATTTCTTATCCAAAGAGAAATTAGTTTATTTTATTTACCATATTTTCGAATCATGTCGCCATGAAAAAGAAATCTCAATCTAACCTCAACATTGTCATATTTTATTCATGTAATCTTCATGTATGTCATGTAAATTTCCTCTATCCCTCTTGATTTCTGGCTAAAAAGGCTCTCCAATTTCTTCATTTCACAAAAATAGGTAAAAGAAATACTTTTCCACAAGTAGTATTTCCCAAATTCTAGATTAACCCAGGACTGTTTATGTGAATTTTAATTCAGATCCAATAAATCTTTAACATGAAGAAACAGATTTTTGAGACTTTGTATATGACATGTGAACAAAGACTAATACAATGTGTAAACATCTAACGCTTCATTCATAAAGTCCATAGAGCTATTCTTGGCATCAGGTGGGGGAACTGTTGCCAAGAAATAGGGCAATGGGACAGCCTCTTTTTTTTTATTGCGTTCACTTAAGATAATTCCAAGTGGTAACATTTCTTTGGTGAAATATTCAATTATTTGAAGATACTCTTTAAATTAGTTTGCACCACAAAGCAGACCCTCAACAAAATATCACCCCTCCAACTTTTCCTCACCGTGGCGATGCCAGAACTACAATATGGGATCTCCTGCATGTGCACAAGTTTTAGGGCCACTCTACTACCCTAAACACATTCAAAATACAGAAGTGTGACCCGCTAGATTTCCACACAGACCTCTGATTGTATGGTAGTACCCCTACAGACCCTTTGGAGTTCCTTTTTATAGATCCTGGCATACAGCCAAACCTGCCACAGATCAAAAGATTTCTTTAGATAACCAAGGTGTCAACAAACCTCTAGGTCCAAAATTCCCCTTTTTGGGCCCCTATCCTTTCATCAATTAGTGTCATGGTGAGATCATTTACAACATGAAATACTACTGGTATTATGCCCACAACATAATGCATAACAAACCTTTCAGCCATGTGGCATGAGGTACAAAATGGGATAAATTAAGCGAAAAAAAAATTGTTGGGTGTATTTTTTTTTCTTTATGGTATTTAGATATATTGTGGGCATACGATCAATAATGAAACAAGGTTTATAATATCTTTATGACAGATCTTACAGTGATATAAAAAATATGCCACAGAAAAAAGTTCAGTACATAACCAACTGGCAGTGTCATATCCAATTATACATAACAAAACAGTGACCCACACCTCAATCTGTTAGCATACTCCCTCTTCAATATGTAATATTAGTAAAATCTATTACCACTTGGCTAAAAATATTTACTTATTCTACTAGTAGATTATGTCATCCCTACACCAAATATTTATATGCTGGTAAAAATGTTCTATTAATTTACTGAAGCATGGAAGCCTATAAAGGCCTCCTGTCCCCTACATAATACTCTATTAATCAATTACCAATAGGACAGATCAATTTAACAATCAGTTGGTCATTTTTATCACCATTTGACCATAGCAGGAAAACTTGTGAGAATTAAGGTTTATAGCCAAACTAAAGTTAACAACCTTGCAGATAATTTTCAATATGAAATGCAAGCTTGATATATATTAAAGTTTTCATATTGGATTTTATTTTGTGAATGTTTTAGTACATCTCTCAATTTACGTTATGATCTAACGACAATATTACATCATAATTGTGTGAGAAAGGATAAACAATTTATGGTTTATTAAGGTTTATACCATATTTATCCTAATTGGTGTAATTACACTGACTCACTTAGTGTACAAAATTATCACCGTTAGCTCAATGGTCTTACCTTGTAAAACAGCTCCTTCCATACAAATGAAAATCTCTGGACTAAAAATCAATTACAAACACAAGTGTCACTGCTTACTGATTAATTCACATCTGGATTTTTTTATCCATTTCTCAATAAATCACATTATAAAAACTAGATCTACTTTCCGTGCTGAATTTTTAAATGTCCGTTCACAATTCCTGATATATACACATGACCATAATCTGAACATCACTTTTTTTCAAGTTGTGCAATTCAAACTGATCCTTCCTAAAATTCATTTAAATAAACTTATCAAATAGTATATCCATCCTCTTCAAGATTTCTTTTAAACACACTTGAAAAATCCACAGTACTCTCTCTGGCTGTGTGTAGGTGTTTACTTCAGTCCTACATCACTTGGTTCAAAACCATAAAAATGTCAAAATATAAACAAGAGTATACCTCTTGGGGGTCACACAAAAGTATAAGCGTTATTCTTTACGTAAACTTTTCTAGCGTGATGACTAAGTCAGATTATTCATTGAAAGTTTAAATACTTTTCCTTGTAGATTTTCAATGGGTTAAATGAGGGAGGTAGAGGAATCTGCCTATTTGCATATCAATTCACTTGACATGTGTCAGATCTCACCTTTGACCTATTAAAGCTGTCACTACACTGAGGCCACAACATGGGGGTTTTAATAAATTTTAAAACTAAAACTCTTATAGTTATTTCAATAAAGGTTCCCAATAACTAAAAATTACTGTTTCCAAAAATTCTGTCAGATAATTATGCTTTAACACACTGAACGAGTATAATCATTGAAAAATGGAAAAAACATTACCACTGGTGCATTTACTTCAGCCAAGCAGAATGCGAATATATTGTTTCATAATTCCACACCCTGCCAATTGGTGGTTTTTAGTAGAATTTTTTTAAAGTATGTCTATCTACAGCTGTAAAACACTTTTTAAGATATATATATTTTTTAAGGAATGTTATTTTTAGTTGATTTGATCAACATTTTAAGTTAACAATGCCTTTCCTGCTCCTTAAAAATGATGAGATCCAAAGATAGAAAACAATCACACTTAATTATATTTACAATTTGACTAAAAAATCCTAAAGGGTACAGTGTCTATAATAAACAAACACTGGTACCCGCAACCAATCTCCTGAAATATGCATGTCCATCTCAAATTTTCCATAATATTCATCCTGCAGTATCATGCATAAAACCTTACCTTAAAATCTATTTGTGTAAACAATTCAATCAATGAATTTGGAAATTTCTTTTCCTGATTTTCCTCCAGAAACAATTAGCACCAGGTTGGTTAGAACTAACACAGATACACAGCATTCAGTTTCCTTAGAAACTATAGATACCAAGTCTAACAGGGTCTGCAACTTCTCTCCTCCAATGTAGAAACTGATCTGAAGTTGATATCAGATATTCTCAGTTTTATTATTTTTCAGGTGAAATGTATTCTGTCACTTGCTGGTAAACAATGATCAGTCCACAATCCTGTTTTTATGGTTTTACAAGTTGCCAACAAAACCAGTCAGTTGTGACAACCGATTGACATGTCACAAAACTTAAATCTACCTGTTGGAAGCATGCTCACCGATATGTTAACTGCATGACCTGCTGTTAAACATTAATCAGTTACTGCCCACTCACCTGTGAAGTTGAATGAACACAACTCCTTTGGGTTTTGTGGTAATTTACACCACTGATATACAGTTCTATTATAAAGATTAAGATGCTGATGTTGCCGTGTTTATACTATAGTCAGCCTGACGTTGTACATCTCTTAGCAGTGTAACCTCTAGGTTTACCTGACCTACAATAATTAGGGATGTTACAGTGCAGTTCTTAGCTAAGTGAAAATGGCTGTTATAGTACCATAGGTCCTGTTATTTTGCTTTTCATCTGACATGTTTTCAATTATACTGATAAAATGTTTCATTTTACCTTAATTTCCAAGACATGAGCTAAGTAAAATTATGAGTACATACATTTCTATATGCCTGTTCTACATCCAATGTCCATTAGGTTACTACAAAGTCTTTCAATTGTAGAAAATAAATTTTCATCCCTTTTGTGCCTGTCCATGGCTTCTATATGCCTGTTCTATATCCTATGTCCATTAGGTTACTACAAAGTCTTTCAATTGTAGAATATAAAATTGTATCCCTTTCCTCATTTTAACCTTTGATGTGCCTGCCATGGCTTCTATCAAGTTTCAATAGGGAAACCTGACCACCCTTACTTGCAGACATAGACTGGTCGAGATCAAAAAGCCATGGATACAATCTAGGTCACACAGAGTATGGTCCATCATTGGATTTGAATTGAAGGAAGAGGAAACTGAAAATAATTGTAACACCCCGGACAATGGAAGACGGCAGAGTTTTGAAGTGATATCTAATCATCGATAGTTTAAATAGTTTAAATAAAGTCGTCATACTATTTTTAATTATATCTTTCTCTATCATGCAAAACAAATTGTTCAAGTTTCTGTAAAAAAGAATATTCAGCAAGCTGATGATGGACTGGTGACATACATTTAAATCAATACCATGTTATGGCCATGGCCTATATTAAGTATGACAGCAGTTCAATAATTATTGTAAATGTTTAAATGTGTAGCATTCCTCAGATACCTAAATGAGCTGATCATGTAATTAACGATTGGTACTAATCAATTTAAAAACAGAGATGATTGCATCTCTTTTATGTAAGCAAACGCTGCATACCAATTCTTGTCCAACAAATGCCAAACCATTTTGTTTACACCAAAATAAAACAACTAGTTGTGAATCAATATGGATAAACCATGGAAGAGAACTAGATACAGAAACAGACAAAGCAATTTAACGTGTATTGTCTGAACTAAAACATTTTAAATACAAATTTCTAAAGAATGGGACACAAAATTTCACAACTGATCACATTCCCTTTCTCCAACATACAAGGATACAAGCTTAAGCAAGCAATGTATCTATATACATGGATACAAGCAATGTATAGATAGAGCAGTTATGCAATATCTAGTAAACAATATCTTAAATTTTAATAAGAGAGGGAGGGAAATCCAGTAACACTGCTTGCTAAGACGAATTCAATTTTCAAATCTGATTGCCATATTAGAGTAAAATAAATCTAAATTTACTTTCTCACAGAAAAGTTGTGTCTTTTGGCTTACTGTTTTCCTGGACAAAGGACAGTTTTCATTCTACAACATCACTTATAATGTTGTAACATGCATGTAAATGATTGCACAAAATGGTTGTGATCATTCAGACGTTCATCAGGTTTGGGGGAGTTTTTTAATGACATGTATAGAATTGAGGCGACTATTGAGGCCAAAAAACCTATCACAACAGTAAAATTTCTATTGAATATTGCGAGTCAAGTGACTATTGCAATACTATCATGATAGTTTTTTAAACTTTAAAATATGTTAAAATTGTGTTTTCTAACCCAGAAGCAGTCATAATCCATTTAAATGTATCGGAATGCTCAGTTTAGAAAATGCTAAAATCATAAAAGATATTTACAATTTTCATACAATGAAGTAGACTGCACATTGATATTTGTTATTCTTTTAATGCATACACTAGCTATTCTGTTTTGTTGTGAAACTCACTGCTGGACTCTAGACTTATCTTTATCTAAACCTTAGTTTCACAATAAATTATTTTAATCACTTTACTAAGTTTTGTGCTTGTTGAGTAAATGAAGATGCCTATAATTTCACAAACGGTGGTTTAATTGGAATCAGTATTTTAACATTTCCAATTAATTTTCATGTAACAAAAAAATCTGCCCTGCAACCAGCTTTCGCTTTTTTATTGAGAATCTTCTGCCATGTTTTTTTATTGAAATGGATCATTTCAAGAATGGGTCCAAAACATGGACCTGGAATTAATGAACTTGCCACCTCCCCTACTATATATTTCATTAGATCATACTGGAAACAGTAACAATGTAAAACTTAGTTAAGATATAAACTCTCATACAACTTTTGCTTAAAATTCTGTTTCCATTTTAAGCAGGTAATGGTGACATTGTTGTATTTAGTACTAACCCAGGGCTCTCACACCCTATTTTGGGACCTGGGCCCTTAGAATTGGGAAAAATAGTGGCGTTTTCCTTAGATTAGGGAAAACTTGGGGTCTAAATTGGGAAAAAAAGATACTATTTTGCATTGGATATGGGACCGAATATCAGCCCCAAATCTGGAAGATCATGAGCCCTGTAACCCCATTGAGGTTCCAAAAGAGGCTTTCCAAAAATAAAAGGTTTGCAGTTCTAAGGCAATAAGTTGGTGAAAACTCTTGATTTCAAGTAGAATTTGTGTTTATTTATAAAACTATCATTAATAATCTGATAGCTAAACAAACTATTGTGATAGTTTTTGTCATGAAAATATGCGAATGACCTATTGCTATTGAGAGCAGAGCTATTGATAAACTATTGATAATTTGACCCACTGTTACACTACTGATGACCAGGAAAACTTGACCATTACAAAAAAGCAGGTAGCAATAAGAGTAAATTTTTACCGACATCATGCCATCATGTTATATGTGTTTATTATTGGTACTGTATTAAATTATTAGAAATATATATGTCGTTCCTGTGTATATGGGTCACCATTACACTGACTGACCTGACTGCCTCTGTTTAATACTTATTGTTTCAAATATTAAGGTATTACTTTGCCATTCGTGTTATTGAGTTTTGTCACACAAATTGATTAAATCTGCCTTTTTTGGCATATAGCTTGATAACTGGGTGAAGTTCTGTGTAAGTTATAAATACATAAGGACATAGTATAGAGTTTATTTTCAATAATTCAATGTTATATAATTAGTCCCATTTAAACTAGGTATATCAGTGTTTGTTGTCAGTTTGTGACAGTATCGGTATTGATACTGTTAGATATGTGGCACAGATAAGCCGGTAATGTTTGTAGGCAAGTCCTTTTCCAAAATTTTAGTCCTATTACTAATAGATATGGTGGGTCTTCAAAATTTAAAAGTCCAAAAGGAAAATCATGAGCCCAAGACTTAATATCAGAGTCAGAAAAATTCACGAAGCTTTGTAAATATGTCTTAATAAAAATAATATTGGTCTTGAACTCTCAAAGTTTGGTCATGCATTTTCAACAGCTAACTATAACCCCTAAAAAATTCACAGCAATATCTTTCTGACCCCATTTCCTAACTACAGCATTTTGAAGTACTCACAATATATATTTGAATTTAGAGTGGTTACATTTGACTATTTAAGGAATTTAATTTTAAAATTATGTACAAACATGCAATGGATATATATATATTCAATTCAAATGGCAAACATTTATCTTTTCTTGAAGGTTGGTGCAGAAACTGTTGATAGTGAATTTTCCTTTGTGTGTATTTGAAATTTTCAGACATTTCAGCTTTAGTATGTTGGGGTCCAAGAAACATGGTCACCTTAGCAATCAGGTTTTGTATGTAGTAGGTCTCATACAGTGGACATGGTAAGAGATTTGGAGCGTAGGTGTGAAGAAATTATTAACGAAGACGTTTGGAGAGAAGAGTTGAAGGGATCATTGTTTAGGTGCAAGCTCTTCAATTTAATTCAACAATTTAGTTGATAATTTACTGTAACTTTTGATAAAAAAAGTAATGAAAGTTTAGTTGTAGGCCTATGACATGTTTTCAGCTTGTATGTAGTATCTTGCCAATAAATTATTTTATACCGCCATTGCGTTCTCGATGACCCCGTACAGAGAAGCACATTGGTCCAGACGTTACAATACACAACACAACGTGTTGAACGAATGCTATGTTACTATCCTATTTCACTTGAGCGATGTTTTCTCAAGAAAACAAAACAATTGATTGCAAACATGCTACCATGGCCTTACCAAATACTGATGATATTTCGCACAAGAAATAATATGAAATTCAAAATAAACAAAGAACCTTATCATTCAGCTCCCCTTATCAAGACCACCTTTACCGACTTCGCAGCCTCTTGTAAATTTTGCTGCATATATCTCTCTTATTGCTATTTTTCTAATACATACCGAAAATGCAAAGCCTCCTCGAACCAAAGGTGGCCTCCGAAACCGTCTATGAACTACAGGACTGTTTTTAGGTGAGTTTTTCTGCACAACCAATTTTCGAATTCACAACATTCAAATTCCAAGATGGCGTTCTGAACTGACGGGGCATGCGCTCTTCGCCGGGCACCTGTCATCAAACCGCATCACGCATGATATTTAAGTGTAAGGATATAGTTCCACATTATTTTTCATAAAAGTCGGAAATTAATACTTGGTAGCAGCATTTCCTTGATGCATTGATATAATATTATATGCTGTTAACCTCCTTATTTAAGAAATTATATCTACGATGAAGTTGTAGAAGAAAGTAGACTTTGATATCAATACGCGTAAACAACTAATCGACGAAGAATGTCAATCGAGATGGCCCACCCCGTGAGACAGCACCAACCCATGATTTCTGCGAGAAATAATCAATAAGCGTTTTCGGTGTTGATTTAATTGTAACTATGATTCAGTGACAGCTAGAGTTGCACAAGTCACGATGGGACTGCTGTCGACATAATAAAATTTGAAATACTTTCATAATTTGTGTAATTGTCTACGAAATTATGCAATATAATAACTGTAATATAAAAACATAAAGTAAAAGGGTAAATAACTCTTACATCCTTTTTTAAATAATCAGTTGAGGAATATTTAATATACAAAGATGTATAATTGTATGGAGGTGATTAATATATATTATGTGAGTTGTTTATCAAATTTGACTGAATGCTTTAAAAAAAGTTTACAGAATCACCGACTAGTAGTTGATTAAATAAAAATATAAGCCGTGACAAAAACAGAGTAAAGTCAAATGACACACAAATAAAGCTGTTAGTAACGACGCAATCAGCCATTACATGTTGAAGATACCGTATTGTCTCCTAAAAAGAATATTATTGCAATCTTAACGGCCCGTCAACACATAAAAGGTCTTTAGGGTTATCAACCGGTAAAACGCACAGCGATCCAAAAAGAAAATAACATTAAAGAAAACTAAACAGTAAAAGACACGTGCTAAAATTCTTAAATGGCTATATTATCACAAAAGATCAAAATAGTTGTCTCAATAGTATCAAAAAACGATGGAAATTAGTTAAATGCCGCTATGTAAAGGGAGGGGAAAGGGGGCAGCGCTGTCCTTAATTAGTAGGCACTACCATTGAAAACAATTTTGAATGGTTAGTTATTAAATATGAACATAACTATGGTACATTTCATCGCTCATTGATATGTAATCTGGATTTCAGGGCCCTAGAATCCTACTTTTTATCAAATTACATAAATTTATATCATGCTCTATGTGAAAATAAAAATATTGAAAAAAATGCTGTGGAATTTGTCTAGTATTTTGAAATATTTCAAAACTTGTCTTATATTTTGAGATGTTTCTAAATTATGTTATGATCATTCTTTAGTCAGCAATTAATTTTATCTAATAAACGGGTTTTAGATCCACCGTCACGGCTTATCGGCCTTTCAGCGGACGAGTTGATCATGTCATCAATATTAGATTTAATGATGCGAATGTAAGCGTTAAAAAGACAATATTAAATTAAAATTTATAAAGTGCGCATTCAATGAATATTTGTGAGAGGTTTGGAATGAACGCTCTCGCAGCGACACAGAAAACTAGAAAAAAAAAATCTTCACAGAATAGAAGTTGTTATAAAAACGTTAGTTAGATTCCAGGACAGGGTGTTTTCTTGAGACATGGGTACAGTGTGTAATTATAGCTTTGTAAACATTTAGATTTAGATATCTTTGTGTCAATAACAATGCCAATAATTAGAGGAAATTAAATCAGCTAATAATAAAACAAAAATATACACAGTATACCGAGAGATTTACGAGTATTTACCACTTGTGATTTATATAATAAAGAAGACGAGTTTCGTTTTATATTGAAATGTCCTCATTACACAGACACGACAAAGAAATTTGGGGGAAAAGCACCTAGTATGTTTAAACTAATAGAACTTTGTAATGTAAAAAACACAAAAGAATTTACTAAATTTTCTAAATATAACAAAGCTGCTTACGTTTTAAGAGCCAACAGTTTGCTCTCCCCTGGTTTGTATTGTGTCTGTAATCATGTGTTTGTATATTGTTATAAATGTTTTGTCTGTAATCATGTGTTTGTATATTGTTATAAATGTTTTGTCTGTAATCATGTGTTTGTTTTTTTGTTATAAACCTGTTTTGTCTGTAATCATGTGTTTGTATATTGTATTGTGTCTGTAATCATGTGTTTGTATATTGTTATAAATGTTTTGTCTGTAATCATGTGTTTGTTTATTGTTATAAATGTTTTGTCTGTAATCATGTGTTTGTATATTGTTATAAATGTTTTGTCTGTAATCATGTGTTTGTATATTGTTATAAATGTTTTGTCTGTAATCATGTGTTTGTATATTGTTATAAATGTTTTGTCTGTAATCATGTGTTTGTATATTGTTATAAATGTTTTGTCTGTAATCATGTGTTTGTTTATTGTTATAAACCTGTTTTGTCTGTAATCATGTGTTTGTATATTGTTATAAATGTTTTGTCTGATGTGTTTGTATATTGTTATAAATGTGTGTTTGTATATTGTTATAAATGTTTTGTCTGTAATCTGTTATAAATGTTTTGTCTGTATGTGTTTGTATATTGTTATAAATGTTTTGTCTGTAATCATGTGTTTGTATATTGTTATAAATGTTTTGTCTGTTATATTGTTAATGTTTTGTCTGTAATCATGTGTTTGTATATTGTTATAAATGTGTTTGTATATTGTTATAAATGTTTTGTCTGTAATCATGTGTTTGTATATTGTTATAAATGTATATTGTTATTGTCTGTAAACATGTGTTTCATATTGTTATAAATGTTTTGTCTTTAATCATGTGTTTGTATATTGATAAATGTTTTATGTCTGTAATCATGTGTTTGTATATTGTTATAAATGTTTTATGTCTGTAATCATGTGTTTGTATATTGTTATAAATGTTTTATGTCTGTAATCATGTGTTTGTATATTGTTATAAATGTTTTATGTCTGTAATCATGTGTTTGTATATTGTTATAAATGTTTTATGTCTGTAATCATGTGTTTGTATATTGTTATATATGGTTTATGTTTTTACGTTCCTGTATCCGACGAGTCAACTGACTTAAGGTAATAAAGAAATTGAAACTAGCATGAAGTGTAAGAGAGAATATTGTTAGTGACGTAGTAATAATGTATACTTAAACATACACTCGACTTCCATCGAGATATTTTTCTCACTTTTGTTTTTACTTCACTTCGCCCCCTGCTCCCACCTCTCCCCTCTCGCCCCCTCCCCCCACCTACGCCCCTGGACTCTCTCTTGTAAATATACAATTCATAAAATCATGTGCTAGTTATTGATTGTTACAGATTTTAATCTGGAACAATGGACGCCATTTTGCATTAAGTATTTTCATCGCTAATATCTTTCCAGCTTGCATATTACAGCAAAACGGTTGATTTTTTTATTGTGTAAGTCATCAGATTTTATGGTATAAACATTGGCACAGTGGTGTTATGGACGGACTGATCAATATAATTAGATCCATATATCGTACTATCGTGTTACTCGCTATGTTATTACAACGTAATTCGTTATCACCAATGTGTGATTTTTGTCTGTTTGTAAATGATAAGGGAAGCTAGTATGTAAACAACTACATCCTCGATACTCCAGTGGTCCTGGGACATGCCATGGTAAGATTTCTTTGAAGGTTCAAGTGCGACATCTTGTGCACGAAAAGACTAGTTTGACCCTTTGATGTGATCAAACGAATCTTTGAAGTTGGGTGTCTCTCCTTCGCTATCTTCAAAGGGAGCCTATCAGCCTGTGATTGGTCAGTTTTTTCTCTTGTAATCAAAAAACTTCAATTTTGCCATGACAATGTTCATGGAGTGCAGAGAACGAAAGTTGTCGTAGCCGTTAGAGTATCGAGGATGAAACTGTAATGGTAAGAGTTATAGATCGTATTTATTTATTAGTTTATGATGATGTATGCGGACGACGAGGGTTTATTCTGTGAAGACGCCAATAATCCCCAAGTTTGTTGACCTCAACATCGCTACCTGCACTTCTGGAACATTTCATGGCAATGTGAAGTCACATGCTAATTAATTCGATTGGTCTAGAACAGGTTTCAGGAGTGAATATAACTAAACACAGACTTATACGCTCCTTTTGAAGTTTACAAAGGAGCGACACCCAACTTCAAAGCCATTACAGCACACCGTTATCCGACCTCGAGATTCGTGTGATGTACATCAAATGTTTATACTACATTGTAGTATTCTCGTCTTATCTGCAATGTGTCACGTACACATGTGTAATGTGTAGAATTCGTATAGTCCTGGTCTTGCAATTTGGGGAAGGGCGATAACTCAGTCAGCTTTGTAGCGATGAGATGTCTTGAGTAACTCTATTTTTTGAGGAGGAGAAATTGTAATTAGTTGGGAAATCGAAGAAAGACAAAGAACGTAGACCAAAGAGTTGATTTTGTGTCAATGATACCCCGCGAAACACGTTTGCCGGGTATATTAATTTGGGCTCCGTGCGTGCGCACGTGCGTCCTCCCGAGGGCTTTCTGGGCTAAAACCGCTTCAAAATCGTTCAGCTCAACTTCACAAAACTTGCTATATATATTGAACTAGTGCCCTAGTTGTGCCTTTTGATATGGACGACATTTCATTTTTTCAAATTATTTGTTTGTGTTACCATGGAAACAGTAAAAAAGTGTTTACTTTGCTTTCCAGGCTCCGTTTCACTCAACATAACTTTCTGTCTTATTAGTCTAGTGCCCTAGATGTGCCTTTTGCTATTGACATTTCATTTTGCATATTTCTTGTGTTACCATGGAAACAAAGCAAAAAAATCCACACAAAATTATTCTTAACTTTTCTTTCTGGGCTACAACTTCGAAATCATTACACTCCACAAAACGTACTGTATATATTAGGTAAGTGTCTTAATTGTGCCTGTTCTTATTGATGACATTTTATTAATTATCCTACTTCCTGTGACTTCTTGTGTTACTCCAGAGCTGATAAAGTGTTGCATAAATTTGTTCACTGAC